TCAGCTCCGCCTCGCTCCGGGCGATGCGCAGGGCCAGCTCCCGGTCCCGGCGCTCCTGCTCCAGCACAGCCTGCTGCTGCGACTCCTCCTCCCGCTGCCTGGCCAGCTGCTCCTCCACTTCCGCCTGCGAGCCCGGAAAGCGTCTCACTGAAAGCCCCTCACCAATGACTCGCTCACTGCCATGGCTTACAGTAAATGGACCCCTTGATGCGCCGTCCGAGTTCCTGACCTTCCTTACCACCCACGAATGTCTTCGGTCCCAGTTTTCTTCTTATTATCAAAACCTCACTTCCCGCCAAGAGAAGGTCGAAAACCCCTAACTGCACATCCTGTGACTACAGCCTGGGCACCTCAAACACCACACAGTACCCAGGGGTTCAATCAACACCGACAACCCACACTGCAGGCGTCAGGAAGTCGGGGTGCTGGTCACGCTGAAGGATAGGCTGGAGGCCTAGACAAACAACTGAAACACACGAGTAGTTATTCCCAGAAACAGACTGCAAAATCTGGGGGAGGAGAGAATACCTTTACCCTTCCTATCAGCATCAGCGCCCACGGTTATAAACCACCTGAAAAGGCAAACATTACGTTCTCAGTATCTCCCTGACTGGCCCAGAGATGTAGCGATACCGATGTTTACCGGATGGGTACCAAGCTAAATGCGTTAACAGGTAACCACTATTCGACCGAACGCAGAGGAGAACCCCTCTCAACCGCTCAGGTGGCTGCCTCGGTTTGCATGGTGACAGCATGGGGCTGGGAACTAGACTCGAAGTCCTATCCCAGAACCAGTGACAGCTCAGCCAGCCAATCAAAATCTGACCGTGACTTTCTACAATAACTGTGTAGATTATATTCTGACAGAAGGTGGGTGCCGGGAGTACGTACCTGAATTCGTTTTTCATCATCTTCCCTTCTCTTCCTCTCTTCTTCTTCTTGTTTTCTCTTTGCTTCCATCTCAAGTTTCCTAACAAAAACCCGAAAATTCTTCAAATGTAACAGCAAATAAGGACTTCTTCACTAGGCAAATTAACTATTAATAAACAAAAGTAACAGAGTGAGAATTTAACCTGTTGGCCACATACACTACTTATTTTGAATAAAATAAAACCTAAGTCTACTGACATTAATTCTCAAGTAAATCAAAGCGATTCTATAACCCTTAATGCCTCTAGCTGCATTAATGCCTCTAGTTGTGCAGCCGGCCTGTAAGATCTTAAGTACAGTAATTCCTTCCCTTCCCTCTCCAGCTAGACAGCTGATACTCACTGTTTACCCTATCATGGGACACTTCCAAAATGTTATTAGCTTTAGACTGCAGAAGCATCCAAGTGCCTCTTTTCTACCTTATAAAATAATAAACAGCTCACTGCTTTAAAAAAATAGTTAAGATATACCCTGGTAAAAGAGGCTAATCAGAGCTTAGACTGGGCCGGGGATTTAACTCAATGGTTCCACCACCTGCTTCACAATCACAAGGACCTCAGTTTGATCCCCGGTACCGGAAAAAAAAAAAAAAAAGCTTAGACTGTACAGGTTAAGTGTCCCTTGTCTGAAGTGCTTAGGACAAAGAACATTTCAGATTTCAATTTTTAAATTTTGAAATATTTTCTCATACGTTTCCAGTTGAGCACCCCTAATCCAAAAATCAGGCTACATATGACCAGGGCTGGGGGATTTAGCTCAGTGGTGCCACCACAGGCCTCATAAGCACAAGGACCCAAGTTTGATCCCCAGTACCAAAAACAAAAAACAAACATATGACAAACCCATAGTTAATAACACAATAAATGGGGAAAACCTGAAAGCATTTCCTCTAAAATCAGGAACTCTGGCTGCTTTTATTCAATGTACTAGTAGAACTTTTAGCCAGAGCAATTATGCAAGAGAAAGAAATAAAAGGCATAAGTACAGAAAGAGAAAAGTTAAATCACCCTCATTTGCAGATGATATGATACCATACTCGGAAAAAACTTAAAAGACTCCAGCCGAGGACTAGGAGCATTGATAAGTGAATTCAGGGGCTTTCCTATACACCAATAACAAACTTCCTGAGAAAGAAATCATGAAAGTGATTCCATGTGTAACAGCCACACAAGAATTGAAGTACCTAGGAATAAACTTCAACTATGAAAGTGAAAGACCTCTGCAGTGAAAAAACACTGAACACTGAAGATCTAAAGGGAAGACAATACTACGAGATAGATTTTCATGGACTGGAAGAATACAGTTACTATGACCAGACTATTCAAAGCAATCTGCAGATTCACTGCAATCCCCACCACAACACCGATGACACTCTTCACAGAATTAGAAAAGACAACCCTAATATGTATATGGAAGCACAAGAGACCCTGAATGGCCAAAGCAATCTTGAGCAAGAAGAGCAAAGCAGGAAGAAGCCAAACAGCACCTAACTAATATTGGTACACACTACAGTAACCAAACAGGGGGAGCGCTGGCATAAAACCAGAAACACAGAGGAGCCGGGCATTGTGGTACATGCTGTACTCCCAGCATTCAGGAGGCTGAGGCAGGAGAATCTTCACAAGCTCGAGGTATGGTGAGTTTAAGGCCAGCCTGAACTACATAGCGAGACCCCGTCTGAAAACAACAACAACAACAACAAAATAACCAGACACACAGAAAAATAGAACAGAACCGAGAAATCTAGAATACAGGAAATCCACACATGGATAGCTAGCTGATTCTCAACAAAGGTGCTAAAAGATTCATGGGGAAAAAAGATAGCCTCTTTATCAACTAGCTCTGGAAGACTGGATGTCCACAGGTGAAACTGAAACTTGACCCCTATCTCACACCCTGTAAAAAAAATCACTCCAAATGGATCAAGGAGCTTAACGCTCTGAGAACGTGGGGAAACACTTCAAGATTCTGGTACAAGCGCTGATTTTCTGGAAGACTCCAAAAGATGGGCTGGGGAACAAAAGTAGATAAATAGCATTACATCAAATGAAAAAGCTTCTGTTCAGCAAAAGATATAATCAACAAACTGAAGAAACAACCCACAGAAAATATTTACCAGCTATTCACCTAAGAGAGGCTTAATATCCAGGATATATAAAGACTCAACAACAAAGTAATCTAATTTTAAAACAGGCAAATGATCTGAAAAGACACTTCTCAATTTATGCAGAACGAGCTGGAAATGCTTTTGCATGTTTAATACCGGCACCAGTGTTAGATTCTACCTGTGGGATTTTTCCAAAAAAGAGATTAAAATCCAAAGCTCAGGAATAACAAAGATAAGATGCCACATGCGGAAAGTGGGAAAGAGGCCTGTCTCCACCACCACTGCACCACATCAAAACTGACTAACAGTGGTTCCACTGCCTGCCTCGCAAGCTAAAGGACCTGAGTTCAAGCCCACGTACCAAAAAAAAAGCTAAAACTGACTAATAAAGTAAGTATGGAAAAGGCATAGGACAAAAATTATTCTGCTCATATAAAATTATACTTTCGTTGAAAAAAAAGACACTTCTCAAAAGAAACACAAATGACCAATGAATATATGGGAAATGTTCAATATCATTAGCCATCAGGAAAATGCATATGAAAAGTATAATGAGGGGCCTGGGGTTTGGCTCAGTGGTTCTGTTGCCTGCCTTGCAAGCACAAGGGCCCCAGTTTGATCCCTGGTACCAAAAAAAAAAAAAAAAGTATAATGAGAAGGAAATAAATCTGTCATTTGCAACAAAATGGATAGAACTAGAGCCCATGGTGTTAAAGGAAACAAGCCAGGCACAGAAAGACAAGTGCTGCATTCCTCACTCATACTGGACACTTTTTAAGAAACATCAACCTGAAATCTAATAGTGATTATGAGGGGGTAAGTGCACAGGGAGGAGAGGAAGGTGGCCTGGATACGAGGCAGCCACACTGTGTGCGTATACAGAAGTACCACAGTAAATCCCGTCAATACACACAATTAATATGTGTTCATAAAGTAAACAAAGTGAACTGTGAAGTCTGAGTGCCGACATAACACTTGAATTTCAAACTCTGGAGCATTTTAGATTTTCAGACTTTTGAATTAAGGATGCTCAGACTATAGTTAAAATAATTTTCAGTAATTACAGCATCTTAAGTAATTATTACAAAATTACCTTATTTTCTACTTTCCCATTTATTCTACAATGAATTCACTAGAATCAGAGTGAAACTGTAAGAATAGTCATTAGTCACTGCCAACACCAAGCCACCTTCTGTTAGGTTTCCAGGTCAGCAGGAGAGCGGAAATAAATGCCTTACATCCTCCTTTCCTCCTCTTCCTTTCTTCGTCGCTGTTCCTCTTCCTCTCGTCTTTTTCTTTCTTTTTCCATTTCTTCTTGAATATGCCTCAGCCTTTCTGCTTCCTCTTCCTGCTGCTTTTTTTTCTGTAATGCACTGAGCAGCTCCTCGGAGCTTCTGACTAGAGCATCGTACTCCTTCTGTATCTGCTCCCTTGTCATCATAGTAGACTTGGAAAAAAAATAAGCCCGCACTTAAAAGAGTTATCTCTTCCACTGCACAACAGTCCATGTGCTTAACACCACTGCACTGTACATTACAAACTTCCAAGAAGAAAAATGTAATGTTTTCCACAATAGTTTTTTTTTTAAAAAAACGACTCCCAATTTGTACATAAAACAGCAATAGAATGGAAAAACTGATAGGCAATAAATTATCTTTGTTGTACTGTTTGTACATTCCACAACATTCCCATTAGCCCTGCACACAAATTTCTGACTCTATTTTGTAACAATCAAATCATCAGTATCTGAATATATAACTGTGGATAAAATAATTGCAGTTAAAAATTCTCTTTAAGGAGCCATTTGCCCAGTTAGCCAAAATTAGTTCAATAACGTTGTTCAAACAGTACCTAAGGAATATGTTAGAAACTACTACTTATGCTTCTAAAATTGTTGGATAATTTTCTAAGTTGCCCTTCAAATTCTGTGGCTGGGTTAACTTTGACTGGTACCGGTGCCTCATGAGCAGGGGTGGCTCACGGCAGATCTGTAAAAGCAGCGCCATCCACACTGGCATTTTCACTGTCCTCCTGCCATCACTGTCCTTTCTACTTCTATCACCGACTACTCACTGTCCACATTAAATATCTGCATAAAATACAACACTGGGCTTCCTTTACGGTACAACAGCCACATAACTGTGCTAAGCTATGCAACTAGTTGGGAAAAACAGTAAAATCCTAAAATATAACAGGAAAAGATATGAAGAGAAACATGAAATATGATTAAGATACAAGCATACAGAAAAAAATGTCAATCCACTAGTAATCAATAAATGAAAATCAACCAAAAAGCTGGCCCTAATTTTTGCCTACAAAATTAAGGATGCAATTAGTGACCATTTTTATAACAAGTGAGACCCTCCATGAAGATAATGTGTTAACACAGGCGAAGTGTATGACAAAATGGCACAGACAGAAAATCCAATGTGCATTATAGTTAAGAACTATATAAACACGTATACACATGAGACTAAAAAAGGACCCTATAATGGCATACTAGCTGAATGTGTCAGTGTGGGAACATAAAGGGCTTTTATTGCTGTTCTTCAACTTTTCAATAATATTAATAATTTAAAAGTTAGTTGCTTTTGGGGCTGAGGATGCAGCTCAATGGTGGAATGTCTGTTTAACATGATGCAAGGCCCTGGGTTCAATCCCCAACTCTGCCACAATGAATAAATAAAATAAAATTTTTAAAAATTAGGTAAAAGAACATAAAATAAATTCAAGTTATTAACATTAATCCTGAGTCATAATTATGCAAAAGCTTAACAACAAAGTATAGCATTTTTACTCTTTTGAGAGGAAAGCATTTTTCCTTACCAAAGATTAAATTACATAAGAATTGTCTTTTTTATCTTACTAGTAATGAAATTTTTCTTCTTGTTGAGAAGAGATAATCTGAGCACCCACTTGTCAACCTTTTTTATCTTGAAAAAGTGAAGCCTTTTTTATACAATTCCAATACCAATAACAAAAGTCACTAAATTATATAAAAAGTCAAAGTCATTTGAGCTAAAATTACATACCTTAATTTTGGCCATCAAAGCATCGATAGAAATTTCAAGATCCTTGATCTGTTTGTTCACCTCTGGTTTTCCATCCTTTAATGTACTTACTACCTCATTAAACCTGTCCAGGCGCCTTTTCAGTGTGCCCACCTTAACCAGGCCATCGATGCTGGAAAGACGACATCCCACCAAAGACCAACTTCACCATTAATGCCTTCTGTACATGTCTTTCGTTAATAAAATTGCTAAACACATATTACTAAACAGGATATTTCTTCTGTTTTTTCATTATTATTTAGTATTTTCTTTTTTAGATGTCTTACTGAGGGTAAAAACAATTAAACATGGGTAGGAATGACACTGATGCCTATGTTCAGACTGAAAAATGAACAAATTTGGATTTTAAAGAAGGTATCTAATAATCTATGAAAAGATATGATGAATTAGTAGTTATTCATACATGCAAGTTTTAAAAGCATAAATTAATAAAATTTAAGTTAGAAAGTTTCTTAATGAAATTTATAGAGAAATATGTAATTCTATGGACAATCTTGAAAATTATGGTCAAAATATAAATATTTTTAAAACATCAATTTGACATTATTAAGAAACTGAAATCAGGGCCGGGGATTTAGCTCAGTGATTCTGCCACCTGCCTCGCAAGTACAAGGTCCTGAGTTTGATCTCCGGTACCAAAAAAAAAAAGAAAGAAATTGAAATCACTGAAAAAAAACACAAAAAAGCCTCAAATAATAGCTTCTCACAACCATTCATTTCAACCTGTAAAAGCATTTATTTACATTTTTATAAGCCTCTCCAAATCTTATAGAATGAGGCAGAAACATAAATTAGCTAGCATCAAATAAATCTTCCAAATAACAGACTAAAATATCATTTTACAAAGAGCATGCTTTACAAAGATCTAAACTGCTTTCTTTCCATTATGACTTTACTGCCATTTTGTACTAGGATATCTAGGTCTCGGGGTTGTCATCTTAGAAAGACAACAAAAGTCTATAGTCCAGACTGGCCTCAAATTCTCAAACCTCCTGCCTCAGCCTCCCTGATGCTGGGATTACAAGCATGCGCCACCACGCCCAGCTGTGACTCAGTTTCACAGGGTTATTCATGTACTATTTATCTTACCGAGGTTTGTGTCTCCTTTTGCAAAGCCACATCCGAATAGTTTTTTGCATTTTAATGCAAGCTTCTGCTCGGTATTTTATTTTGTTTTTCACTAGGAGTAAAATTAAATAATTTTAAAATTCAGTTGGAGTTGGGTAAATACTATTTTTTTAAAAACTACTCATTTCCACAAATGCAATTCTCAGGCAATATGACATCTTGATGAACACATTGTACCAAACATGAAAATCATGAAGTTTTAACATTCTCTTTGTTTCTTCTTAAAAATAAAAAGTGTGCCAAGGGAGTAGTGGGTTCATAATTTAAGTTCATTACTTCCTTATTGTGCTGCACTACTGACTCCCAAACTGTGCTGCCCACCATTTGTCCTATTCAGTGTGAACAGATAACGCCTTTACAAAAGGATTTACCTGGAAATCAGCTTAGGAAAGACATAAATACACCTCCTTTCGGAAATCACAACAAGCCCCGTGGGTGAGGCCTCAGACTCCTACAGTAAAGGAATCTTTTCAACTTCAAGCACCCAGAACATTCCCGACTTGAGGTGAGCTCGAAAGATCTCTTTCAGAGCATCCTTATTACCATCCTGCAGGCACACCTGTCTGCCTCCTGACCACGGCACATTTGCACGGCACAGGCCACAGACGCAGCGGACAGAGCAAGTGATGTCAACGGAGTGCGTTCTCCGTCACGATGCAATGTATCAAAGTAAAGGCACTGAACGACCACGACAAATGAAATGAAGGGCAACAGAGGCTCAGTTATCTCTTTTTTATACTTTTCTTTTATCCACAGTCACAAGTGTCTAACAAAGGTCTCCATTAAAATCTTTAGGGGTGGGGATTTAGCTCAATGGTGCCACTGCCTGCCTCACAAGTACAAGGACCCAAGTTCGATTCCTGGTACCCCAAAAAAAAAAAATCTTTGTGTGGTTCCTTTTTATTAAGTCAGATGAATTTTACTTTTCTATTCATAAGGAATGATTTTCTGAATCCTTTTCATGTACCTAGCACTATTTCGTGCTATACTCTTGCATGGGCAGCGATTATAAATTTAATCAAGTTACAGATTCCCAAACAGTAGTTCCCAAGGATTAAAGGTTTGCCACAGACCCTCAGGTAATTTAAAAACATTCTGCGCTCACCCCAGTGAGAACTAAAAAGTTCCTATGATTTGGCAGAAATGCAAACAAACGCCGCTCAGGGCAGTGTGCCAAGGAACAGGGGCCCAGAGGGGAGGGGTACCCGGGGCAGCGACCACAGCCAAAACCCCATTCACACGGTCTTGAAAGAAACTGAACTCAGGCTTTGCCCACCATGAAAAGACGGCCAGGAAGGGCTTTTAGTCTAGAGCTTGAGCTAGTGAGGTTACACGAGTGGGAGAAAGAAGATCCACTCAGATACTGGCAGCAAAAAGCAAAGAATTACAGTATTTGGAGGAAAAATCAATATTATTTGGTAACTGTCAAGATTTCGGGGGTAAGAGAGAATTACAGTCTTGAACTCCAGCATCTGCACTATGGATGGCAAACAGGCAGAAAGAGGGAAGCTCTGGTTTACACCTGAGAGACTGGGAATGGTGCTGTGAGTCCAGGGAGACAGAAAGAAAAAGAATGAGGACAGTGAGCTGTGTTTAGGACCTGACGAAACTAATACTCCAACAGTGCAGTCAGGTAAGGAAATAGTGTCATACATTCAAAAAATAAATAAAATCTAAAGTCTACGAAAGCTAGCTTATCCCACGCTACATTCAAGGAGTTAGGGACCCAGCAACAACTACAGTCCTGGCCGGCTGCCCAGCGTTACCACCGCAGGTCCAGAGTAGCAAAGCTTAGGTGTGAAAGGACGCTCACGTTTGATGACAGACAGCGCACACCACTGGACTTTCTTCCAGCGACTGCAGACCAGCCAGAGATTGACTCTCTTAACCAACTCTGCCAAGTGGTCGGGGTCCGACTTCATGATCTGATCAAATTCTGCAAACTAGAAGGTAAAGTAATTTAGTATCAGCATTAAAAGGCACGAGTTTAAACACACAGGAAGAATGAAATAAATAAACTCATATCCCAGATCCAATTTCCTGAAAATGGCTGCAGTCCAGGAGCACACACCTTAGTGGGGCAGACAGCAAACTGAAACACATTCTCCTGCCCTTTTCTTCCTTTGCTTCAGGGTCACTTTTCGGGAGGTAGGGAAGGTTACTGATTGTTAAGTAGCAGATTCAGAAATAAAAATAGAAAAACTTCACCAGAGGATTGGCAAAGGCTTTATTGAGGAAAAAAAGAGAACGGATGTATCTCCAAATTGGCTCACCCACACGCTCAGGTGTCCACATACAGCTATTGAAAAGTGAAAGTCAGCTATGCAATACTATCTCCCAAACTCTGACCTCATTCTGGAAAAAGATTAAGAACTAAGAGAACACACAGCACAAATAAAATTAATGAATAAAACATATTATAATTAATATATAATTAATATATAATTAATTAATAAAACATATTATTTCCATTATTTACCACCAAATTCCAAAATGATTTATATCCTTTTCCAAATATTCCACCAGAGTATTAAGGATGCTATATACCAACTAATAAAGTGACGTGTTGAGCTGGGTGTGGTGGTGCACATCTATAATCCCACCACTTGGGAGGCTGAGGCAGAAAGATCATCATAAGATGGAGGCCAGCCTGGACTACTGAGTTCAAGGCCAACCTGAACTACATAGTGAGACCCTGACTCAAAAAACCTAATTAAAGAAAAAGAGAAAAGAAACAAACATAGATTTTTACATAATCAAAATTTAATCTCAGTGGTTCTGCTGCCTGCCTCACAAATGGAAAGTCCTGAGTGCAATCCCCAGTACCAAAGGAAAAAAAAAAACAAAACACCAAACTTAAATTAAAGCTAACATGAGATTAGAGATCTCTGAGTCTTTGCCTTATGCTTTCAATAAACCCATACTAATTTTTCTGAAGGATGTAATTCTTAAGTAATTACTTATAGCTCTGAAACAAGAGAAATGTTGAGTTTATAATATGTATGTTTAAAACATTGTGAACACTTATATATTCATTTTTTTCTTAATATTTTATAAGAAATGATATGGGTCCTCTGTAATAAACAATCAAGTGCATACGCTGACAATGAAGCATTCATTTCACCTCATGTTCAAAAATGCAAAATCTGATTTGTTATATTAATTTATCCTCAAGACACTAAAGATATTTATTAATGATTTTGCTTAATCCAATTAGTACCACTGGCTACTTAAATATAATAACAATCATGTTTAAAATGAGGATGCAATTATTAAACCAATATTAAAGAAATTGGGAATGTGAAAACAGTACTGATAGATTGGAAACAGCACTGGATAGTTATTGAATGTATTTATAGTCATAAATTACTATAGAAACTGTAAGTATTAAAACTGCAGGATTATGTGTCAGCCTAAAAAAACAATCCTGCTACATTCTGAAGTATTTATACATTAACTCATTCTGGGGTTTGACAGAGGTCAACATGAAGAAGTAGAGTACAATTTCCTGTACCCTGGACAGCTGCCACACATTGTGCCTAGTAAATGGCACAATGAACTCCAAAGTACTGTGAAATCTCAAATCACTGAAGACTCAGTGCTTTAGAAAACCTTCCAATTTGTTTGAAATGTTAGTATTTTCTGATTAACCTCTTACTGAGTAAATAAAAAAGTTAATTAATGCTCTGAGGTCAGGGATTTAGCCCAGTGGTGCCGCTGCCTGCCTCACAAGCACAAGGTCCTGAGTTTGATCCCTCATACAAAGAAAAAAAAAATGCTCTGATCCAAATACTGAAAAATATTGCAAAAGTGACGTAGAGAGAATTACATATTATAAATTTCTCACAAATAAATCTGTGTGTGTACACATGACACATGTATAGCCTATGTTGTTCAAATAACCATATAATTCAAGAATAAAACAGGGCTGGGGATTTAGCTCAGTGGTTCCGCTGCCTGCCTTGCAAGCACAGGGGCCCAAGTTCAGTCCCCGGGTACCCCCCCCAAAAAAAACAATAAAAATCACTTAAAAACATTTAGTAAAGCTAACTTCCCACAGGCATGATGTTAAAGTTTAAAATAAAAATATATTTACCTTGCCAGGTCTAAAAAATACTTTTGTTAATCCAAACTTGTAGTCAATTTCATTTAAGCCCAAAGCTTTAAAAAGAGCCTGAAAAAAAAGAAAAGTTAAAAATTTAAACTCCAACTAGTAATTAATAGGAAAAATTGCAATGATAAGAAATTAATTCAAGCAGCATTTGTACCTTACAAAACAGCCTGGGGTCCAATCTTGCAAGTTTATCCGGCATGTACTTTTTATACATGTTGTACAGTTCGTGAAACGAAGCTCGTGATGGGAAGCCACCTTGCATCAAGTCCAAAACGGACACCATACCTAGATTCATAAATAAAACAAATCACTGCCAATCACTGTACAGAAGTCCAAGGTAATTTGTGAATGACCAATTTCACACATCAATGTTTGGGAAGGGACAACAAAGAGGAATTATCAACAATGAAAAATTACATAAGAAACATACTTCTAGTCACTGTGTTCCAACTCTAATCAAACTCCATCTAAAACCAGCATGACTAACCATTCCTGAGGTAAATTACTGATTTCTGGAAAAAAGTGAAAATAGAAGGAAAAACTGGAAACAAAGCTTCTGTACACAGGGAGGGGAGGGAACTTGAGAGGGGGAATGGGATAAAACAAAATTTATTTTTAAATAATTATGGATCTCTAGAAAGCTCCAAGTCTACTTTATAACTATTTTTATGCTTGGTGTGCATACAGAACAAAGCGCTGTCTGGTAATGAGGGCACAGTGCCAACTTGATTTAGCTTTGGGGTCACCTGGAGGATTAGGGGAGCACACTCCTAGGCGCACGAACATTTGAGCATTGTATCTCTCGCATCCCTCCTTGTGAGGGCTAGCCTTTTCTCTATCTTAGTCAAATTTTGTTTTGGAATTTTGCTTTCATACGGACACTGGCTTTCAGCCAGGTTTATAGTGAGAATTAGGGGCAAGAGGCAAAGCAGAAAAATTTGAAAAACTTAAAATTTTGTTCCAGAAAGAAAAGAGACATGGCTGCTGAAGAAGTCAGCACCATTAAGAAAAAGCAAATACAAGCAAACCCTAGATTGCAAGTAACTTGGTCTGCAAGTGTTTCACAAGACAAGCAAGCATTTCTAAGAAATTTTAACATGACAAGCAATGTCTAACAAGTATGTGTCTTACATGCTGAATGTCACATGATCATAATTGGTTCCTCCCTCTTCCTCTCTCTCTCTCTCTCTCTGCTTTGATACACTAGTGCTTTAAATTACAAGAGGAACAAATCATTCTCACAAACCAAGGTTTTATTATAGAGTAAGACCTCGATTTATGAACAAGTTCTGTCTGGAAGAACATTCTCAAATCAGATTTGTATGCCTGACAAAGTGTGCCTTATACACCTTTGACACAAATATACAATGTAAAGCATAAAACACCAAATGTGAGGTCCATTCATATCTGTGAAAGTTTGCAACTTGAACGTAAATTGAAGACTTTCTGTACTTTTTATACGGATAAGAAAAAAGATGTCTTGAAGGCATCTCAGGAATCAGCATGACCTCACCTAAGGCAAACTGAAAGATGTAAAAATATAAACCTTTCATTTGAGAAGTGAGTCCCTGGGTGCCCTGCTTGAGAAAAACCTAAGGAATTAGTTCTCCAAGATTCATTTCACTCTGTTCAGCCATTCAGGCACTCAAGAGGTTACTGCAGCCAAGGTCCAAGTAGGCCTGACTACTGTTGGCACTGGTGACAGAAGTAGGCATTATGCACAATGCAGGTTTTACCAGCATGCAGAAAGCAAAAGCTGTAGTCTTGGGGAGATTCTACTCAGATTTCAAAGCCCTGGAAGGCCAGGCAAGGAGACACAGAGAGGGTACTGCTTGAAGATGTGGAAATAAAGCCAAAAGGCAGTGGAGACCCCAAGAAGCTGGACATGTCAAGAACTTGGAACATTTGCCAAAGAAAACCTCAGGCTCTGAGTGAAGCCTGCCTGAGAGAGAAGTCACTGTCACTACCAACAGCAGGGTCACAGAAGTGGGGCCACCCAAGCCCTGTGAAACTCACATCTTAAACCATGTGTCCCAGATTCCAGATGTACAGCTACAGGATTTAGTGTTTTCCTTGCTAGGTTTCAGGCTTGCTTTGGACCTGTTCCTTTTCTATAGCTCTATTCCTCCCTTTTGCCATTGGGAAGGTCAGTGTATCCTGAGATTACATAACTTATTATTTTATTTTTATAAAGCTTCACAGGTTAAAAGTTTGCCTTCAGTCTCAGAAGAGACTTGGACTTGGACTTTTGAAATTGCTGGAACTGTTGAACTTCTGGAGAAAGGATGGCTGCATTTCCAGTTGTGCAACAGAATAGTCATATTATGTTAGATAAATCGGGACCTCGCTATTGTCTTTATTTGGAGATTTTAAGTATAGCTGCAGGAGATATGTTTGTGTAACTTGCCTGGCTTTGTGATCCACCGAAGGATTTGAGAGAACATTTCTGCCTGGGTGGGTCATGGAAGTGTGGCTGTGAGGTCTATATCTGGTCCCTTGATCCTTCCTCTCTGGCATTTTTTCCCTGCTATGCTTTCCACATGGCATGAACTAAATAGCCTTGCTTCCTCGTGCCCTTCTGCATGGACTGAATCTCCTTAGAACATGAGCAAATTAAACCTCTCCTCCTTTAAGTTGAATATGCCAGGTCCTGTGTCCAGCAACATGAAAGGTGACTAATGTACCCTACACCTAGTCACTAAGTCCTGAGGTTAATTTTAGAACAAGATTCCTGATAGAGTCTTCAAAAAGTAGTGAAATAGGGCCTGGAGATTTAGCTCAGTGGTTCCACTGCCTGCCTTGCAAGCACAAGGACCTGAGTTCAATCCCCAGTACAAAAAAAAAAGTAGTAAAATATATTTCCAAACTCTCTCCAATTCTTAAAGCAAAAGAGAAAAAAAGTTTTAACTAAAAAGACTCTTCTCAAAGAAAATAATCTACTGAAATGATGTGTCCATAGAATAAATATTTGTTATCAGTACAATTCTAATAAATTTTAAATCCAAGCCCTCAATCAATGTGAGCTTTTCAGGTCAGGGAAAGTATAAAATAGGTTGAGAAATATTAGATTGCTAAATATAATTGCAAGACTTTTGTTCACAAGAAGACCTGGATTTCAGTATCTGGGACTATTCAAATCAAAGAGAAAATAAGATTCAATAAAAAGTGTTATGACAAATGGATCATCTTTTGGAAAACAAAAATAACATCAGATCTTACCTCACTTCTTATACTAAAATAAATTCTTGCTAGTAAAATAATTTTAAGTAAAAAACTATAAAAGTCTTTTAAATAAGAGAATTTTTATTTTAAAATAGTCTCACAGGAAAGCTGGCCTTTCTAAGCAAATTGAATTTTAAACTATTAGATTGGCAAAAGATGTAAAACAGTAACACAGTGACACCTCAGTTCACGAACACTTGTGTTTCACAAAAACAGAAGAATTTCAGAAAATTCTGTTTTTATTTGCAAACTCTGCACTGGGTGACAGACATGACCACAGCCATCTTTCCCACACAAATATAAATGTGGCCGTCTTTTCCAAAATGTTTGAACAAATTAAATTTGTGAACTGGGGTACCACTGTGTGCTCAAGAGATTATGACAGTGTAGGAAAACACACACACATTCTTAGTGAGAATGTAAACCAGTGCAACTATTTTGCGTAGCCATTTGGACACAGTATTTATACTTTTGGTCCAGTAATTGCTGGACTTCCATGACTCTATTGTACAACTTCTCACATTTGGACAAAGATAAGCTGTGGATAATGTCCTAATGTTTGCAGTAGAAAGAAAATCAGAAATATTTAAAATATCTATTGATTAAACTATGTTACAAATATATAATGGAATATGATGATTAAAAATAGGGCAAAGCTTCAAAACTAGTATAAATAGATTCAGGAAATACAGAAATTACAAATTAATTAAACACATAAAAACATCTTTCTTATGAGAAAAAAAAAAAATCCCAGAATTAGATTTGGTTCTAGGCCCTGCATGGGAAAAAAAGTAAAGTTTTGTTGGTATTGTCAGTTTCGACCCATTTACATCAAGTACCCTTGGAAAAATGTATGCACTACCACAGAGTTTCTTGGCTTGCCCTACAAAGGCAAAATATGAACATTATGAATTTCATGAAGCTTCACAAATTACCTATCCTACAACTGATTTCTCAGCACTTGAGGCTAATCCACTCTTAAGATCTTATGTAATGCAAAATAATAATAATAATAATAATAATAATAATAATAATAATAATAATAATAATAAAAACTCTATTCCTTCTAGAAGTCCCCATGATCTTCTTGGTAACAGTGCTGGCTGGTTGTACACAGAAGCCCTCTTTGCTACCACAGATAGCACAGCCCCGAGTACAGGGGAAGAAAACCGATTTCTCTCTCTTTTCCCTATTTCACACTGGTGCTGGCTGGTAAAAAGAGAGTAATTTTAATGGAGTATTTCTTAAATTGTTTGTCTTCAAAATGGAAAAAAAATAGAAATGAAAAGGTAAAACAATATAAACCCTAAACATCTTCATCTTGGAGCACTTCATAAATATTTTTATTTTTACCAGTTATTGTTATTTTTTGCTTTTCTCATTACCTAGCTACATGACTAGACTAGAAACAATTCTGTATCATTATACTATTAATAGTACATCAACAAGTCAAACTCCTATGTGCTGGGACCATCTGTTAGGCTGCCCACATATCTCAACACGCTGAAACGTATCACTTTCCGAAAGCCTGTGCCCAGCTAAAGCACCAGTGAGCCCACACTCTGCTAATCCAATGGCACACAGAGCTAAATCTAAATGGGCTTCATTTGCTAGGGCAAGTGATGTTCACTTAGGAAATAAATGAATTCCATTATGCTAAAGAAATCCTAAAAAAGGAATTCAAATGGGAAAAAGTTAAACTCGAGCCATAACACCCTAAAAACAGTACACAAAAATGCATCTCTAGTATACCCAAGAATTCAGCAAATACAAATTATTTAATTTTCCAGTTCTTGTCAGAATCAGTCACAAATTTTTATATTTCCAGATCATGTGTTTTATTCAACAAATATTTACTGAGTTTAGTATATGCCAGGGAAGCAAGATTTTTATGAAGTCAAAACAGATACATTTTCTGCTCTCGTGGGACTATAAATGGAAAAGGGACAATCTAAAAACTGACGCAAGTATACTCAAAATTTGTTAAGTATGACTAGGAAATAAAGGCATCAGAACTCAGCAACATAAACTAAGACCCCATTCTGAGACAGGGAGCATCAGGAAAGGCTTTCATAGAAGCAGCACTCAAGCTGAGATGCGAAACATGAAAGGAAAGGTGTGGCAAGCGTCCCAGACACAGGCAGCAGCACGTGCACAGGCCCTGGGACAGGATGGAATGCAGAACACTTCAGACACGAGGAGGAAAGCAAGCCAATGTGCAGGAGCACAAGTGCGGGAAGAAGTGAAGCTAGGGACACACAAGACATGACGCAGGACCTCATATGCTAACAGCAGGTGTAAAGAGAAGGATGGTCTAGCAAAGGCCAGGGAGAGAGGGCGACAGCTTGGATCAGAGAGTAACAGGACGCACTATTTTGGCGGTCACAGCAATGGGAGTCGGAGACACTTAGAGAATGAAGACTTATGCTGCCCAACACAGCAGTCACTAGACATATCTGACTAGCTAAATTTAAAAATGTTAAAATTAACTAAAACTCAGCCTGCAAAATGTCGCATGGCCGTCACGCTGGATAATATAGATACAGAGGAATTCCAGCATCATGCAAAGTTCTATTGGACAGAGTTGATAAATTTAAACCCTGAAACAAATAATACCCAGGTACAAAAAAATGAGCTGACAGAACCAACAGAGGCACATGGTGTTTCAGAAGCCAAAGAATGGTTACATTAAAGGGATTGGCCAGGGCCAAATGCTTGTGAAGTCCACTAAGAGGACTTCATTAAGGGTTGAAAAACGGACATTTGATTTAAGATCAGGACAATCACTGGTGACCTTATCAGGACAGAAGCTCAGTTCTCTTGAGGTTAAACAGTGTGTAGAGGACTGAGAAATCAGAAATAGGCTATGCATGGGGAGCAAAGCAACAACCGGAGAAACGGGAAGAAAGGAGTAGCTGGGAGGGAACGTGGGTCAGAGATGAGATTTTGGCACGTTTAAATGGCAAGAGAAATGGTAAAATACACATCAGAATCAAAGATTCATGAGAAGGTCAGGAAAGGATGGATTTCAAGGCAACATAGGCCTCAACTAGAGAAAAGAGAATTCTCACTTTCTGGACAAGAAGGAACCATAGCCAGGTGTGGTGGCCCATGCCTGTAATCCCAGCACTCGGGAGGCTGAGGCAAGAGGATCACTATGAGTTTGAGACCAGCCTGGGCTACATAGTGAGTTCCAGGTCAGTCTCAACTACACAGTGAAGCTTTGTCTCAAAAAACGAAAAACAAAACAAGAAGGAAGGAAGCACAGACAGGTAGCCGCGCTTGGTGGCTTTAGGTTTTCAGCAGAGAGGTGCAGCCATCTGTGGCAGGGCCTCAGACATGAGGCCAGCAGGTAACCTGACGGGTCTCTGTGGAGAAACTGAGTGCTGACCAGGAAACCCTGTCAGGACAAGTCTGAGGGCCTTGAAAGGTCAGTGACTGTGAATGTAAATGGTATCAACATCCACGCTTTTCTTAGAGGAAACGTAAGAAAAATCTTACTGCATTCAAAAACAATCACGCTTATGGCGAATTATTTGAAAACACTGGGCCTATTAGCCTGTGCCTGACACAGGGTGACACAAGTGTGAAGACACAAGGTACCTGAGCACTGAAGCTGAGACAGAATTTGGGCCCCCTCGAAGTGGTGGCTGGTCATCTTCAGGTTAGGTTTGATGCAGCGAATGAAGCTCGCCCCCTAGGAGGACAGAGGACGGCCTCAGTTTTCTCGTTCTATGAATATCAGCAATTCTCAAAGCTATTAACACACAGACTTCTAAAATAACCACTAAAGAATTGAAAAACACATTGGTATACTTCTGTAATTTGAAGCTTCAAGTAAATTTCTGCATTATAATACTAGAAAATGTTAGTTTTAGATTTGAATGACAAAATTTATAAAAAGAAAAGCCTTTCACTATAAAATACGTATCATATTTAAGCAGGCTAATGCACATGTGATTTTAGTCTATGTTCATGTGTAAGTACTTATACACTATTTCTGTGATAAGAAAATTATTCTCTGACAAGAAGATTAAATAAAATTATGCCCTTTTTATGCCAAAACATTTTTTAAAGTGTACACATATACAAAATCCACCAATCCTTTCATTCTACTTCAGAAATATTGGGGTTGTTCTGTTTGTTTAGGTTCTGGTCTGTGATGGTGGCGTGGCTGTGGCAGTGCTGTTGCAGTTCGGAGGAACTGAACTCAGGGCCTCACACTGAGTGGCATCCCCACCCCTTTTATAATATTTTCATTTTGAGACAAGATCTCACTAAGTCACGAAGTTGCCTGGGCTGGGGTCAAACTTTTAATCCTTCTGCCTCAGCCTCCCACAATGCTGGGCTTTCAAGAGTGCATTACCAAGTCCTGCTGAAAAGTTTAATTGGCTAAAAAATATTTATTAAAGCTGAAAGGCATGCATTTGGCTATCTGATTATCCTGAATGAGGCAAAAGAATACTGATTATGTATGCAGTGAAACCTTCTTGCACTGAAGCTAATATACTAAACCTCCAAATAACTGTTTCTCTTCAAAAGAGTAACCCTGAAAAACTGAGCAGCTATTTCAACAACGATGCTCAAAGCTAACACTTTCAGAACATAGTTCTATAAACCACAGAAGGGACCTCTTTACTCTGGAGTAGCTTCCTACTGGGGAAATAAAAGTAAAAGGCTGTCCTCATCAACTCAGTCCCTAAGAGGGAAATGTTTGCAGCCAATGAGGATATTCGAAAAACAAAATTTCTTTTTGTGGCAGTTTTTGTTTTTTATCTAATAATACAGAGTGAGGGCTGGGGATTTAGCTCAGCGGTTCGGTGGCCTGCCTCGCAAGCGCAAGGACCCGAGTTCAATCCCCGGTACCAAACAAAAAACAATACTACAGAGTGAGTCACTAAGATGTACACTCAAAAAAAAAGACAGGTCCCCATACATTTTGCCTTTATGCAACGCACAAAAAAATGTCCATTTTTTCCGTATCAACATGCCATGTCTGAAGAATGTTACAAGCTAATAAAATAAAATTAAATTACATTCTTTATCTTTAACACTAAAAAAATACATTTTCCTCCATATTTACTGGTTATCTTCACCTTTGTGAAGCAATAGGCTAATCTCAGTAACAGTCAAAGAGCTCTGTACTTTTGTAAAACAGTTTAACTTCACATACTTATTTGACCTTTCTTCAGAACACACCTAACCAAAATAGTAACCATTTCATAAATGTATTTTAATGAAGGGAATTTGGTTAAAAATGTATTTCTCATTATTCCAGGGTTACTATGTTTACTTGGGTAAATATTAATAACAGTGTTAGAGGACTGTTTAAAAATGTATTTTGTTTTTAAGTGTACTCACAGTACTTCGAAGTTTATCCAAAAGCAAATTTAACTGTGTCTGTGAAAGAAAAGAAATCAGTTTATTTCAAGAAGTCAAAGTACACAGCAATATTACTTCTCCAACATTAAAATAAAATAACATGCAGTAACATCCACATATAACACTTTGGAACTTAACAAACTTCTGTACACAAATTCTTTAACAGCATCATGCAAAACGGCCAATGAAATGTCAAGGGCTATAACTACACAGAACTTGTATAATTAAAGAGTGAAAATTAGTCACACTAAAAAAAAAATCACACACAAATTTGCAGGTGGGGATGAGGGAGGAAAAAGTAAATGGACAACAAGGGAAGTAAATGAGAAAGCTGGGGAAGTAATCAATATGAGAATGGCACTACAGTATTTCAAGATGTGGCAAACCAGGTATACTCTGGGTCACAAACTATTAATAAAGAAACGTTTAAAATATGCACTAGTGATACCTATCAGGATTATTCTACACTCTAACACTCTAACACTCAGTGTAAACAAAACTGTTACCTAGCTACAGAAATTCACTACTATTTTAAAACTTGAAATATTTTTTAAAACTTGCACAATTTTCTTTAAAAATGGAAAATGAATACTACAAGACAAGACACTATGCTTTCGTGCTTTAATGTACTATGGTTCAGTACATTGAAATCATTTACCTGCTTTACTACTCTGCAAAGTAAATCAATTATGTAAAATTCTGTATGAAGATTTTACACTGAGAACTTATACTGCTCAGAAGAGAGAAATGAAAATGCTATTCCTACATTAATATTATGTTGGTCATAACTATAACTGATACTGAATGCTTCCCTGTAAGGCACTGCTCACAGCTTCTCATGAGTATCATCAAGCTTACTCCAGCTAAGGGTAACACAACAATCCTAAGGAAGGATGACTTACGAGCCTCATTTTTCAGCATGACACCGAGGCCCAGGAGGACAAATGACATGTCTAAGCTAATGGCAGTCATAATTCCAGTACGGGCCTGACACCAGCCTCCGTTCTCCTCTCTGATCCTACAATGCACTTCACATGTCAGAGGCCTCTTAACACGAAAAGAAGGTCACTGGGTCGAAGAAAAAGTCAGGCCCCCAACTTATCTGGATGACAGAGTTCTGACAACCTCATCACTCCGGACCCCCACGCAACTTAAAACCAGTCCAAGGGCCCCAAGTTTTGAAAGAAAACAACTGCGGCAAAGTCTGTGCTCTCTAATCCACAGACCAAGCCTGGTGCTCTTCCCCCATTGGAGATATAGTGAGAAAAATGGAAGCAACAAAAATAAACAGTGAGAAAAGAGAAAAAAAGGCCAATTATCAAAAAGGAGCAGTCCAAAACCATAAGGCATAGGGTTAACAGCTTTGGGCAACTCTGGCTCCATTTGTATTTTTATGCTAAAACACACAAGTATTCATATTTATAACAGAATACGGTTTCTAACAAAAAGAATTACTTTTTCTAAAACACTAACAGTGAGAGAAATATGTTTCAATAACCTGAAAATGTCACTATTCAGGAGACAACTTGTTCTCCCACGATGTTGGACAACTCAAGTATTATTACAAATGATAACCTGTTTTGTGTTATTACCTTACATACTTCAAAGTTAATTTGATGAGCAACCAGAAATCACTATTAAGATTTTTATTCTAAACTATTATTTTTAATAGCAGGTATGGCTTTCAAGAGTTCATACAAAAAATATATATATTGTGTATAAGTAATTATAAAGCTTTTAAGGCTCAACACAAGAATCTTTAAATCAGAGGAATTTTATGGACTGGGGATTTAGCTCAGTGGTCCTGCCACCTGCATCAAAAGTACAAGGACTCGAGTTCAATCCCCAGTACCAAAAAAAAAAAAAAAGAAATCAGAGGAATTTTTAAGAATGTTTTGTTTTCATTTATACTGTCTAAAATTCAGGTATATTCTTACCAGCAGTACTACTTTAATATCATAGTAGGAAAATACTTGATGAATTTTTGTATGAATTAATATGTACTTTTTCTTTTTTTTTGAAACTGGATCTATGTTGTACAGAATGAACCCAAACTCCTTGGTTCAAGCAATCCTCATGCCTCAACTTCCCAAGTAGCTGGGAATATAAATGCATACCAATATATCCAGTTAATGCACTATTTGTAAAGCAATCTGTTATCAAATATCTAAATAGGAATGAAGAATAAATCAGAAAAAATATTTATTACTGAGTAAATTAGGAACTCATAATTAATTAATGTAATGTAAACCGGACCTGTAATCCCAGCACTTGGGAGGCTGAGGCAGGAGTATCACTGTGAGTTTGAGACCAGCCTGGGCTATATAGTGAGTTCCAGGTCAGTCTCAACTACATAGTGAGACCCTGTCTCAAAAAAAAAAAAGTAATTAATGTAACTAAAAATTCAGTCACCTAATTTTTTGTAATCTAGCTTTTGGAAATGATTTTTCTTTTTGTACTGCTGGGGATCAAACCCAGGGCCACATGTGTGCTAGGCAAGTGCTCTAACACTGAGCTACATTCCCAGCCCTGGAAATATGATTTTTACCAGGTTCAATCATTTAGAGCACAATTCTATCCAAAAGGATCTGTTTTTACTGCCAGTTACTACTGTATTATTCTGATAAATACTTCCTAACTATATCACTTTTGATAAAGTACATATTTCACAAAGGCAAATACAGTGTTTTATTGTAAATACTACTTTGTGCAAATGTGTAATAAAAGTTCATTCTATTTTTCTTCCATGTGCAGTGTTGTGCTTCTCTGTTCACTAAACTTGTAACATAAGTGTTTCTTTTTCTATACTAAATACTCAAGATTATAACCAATTAGAGTTCATTTTTGATTTTGATTTTCATTCTTCTTGGTGGTACTGGGGATTGAATCCAGGGTCTTCACACTAAGCTGTATCTCCAGCCCTTTTTCTCTTTTCAGGCAGTCTCGCTGCATGACTGAAGCTCCCGAGACCCGCCCCTAGCTTTTGGTCCTCCTGCCTTGGCCTCCCAGAGGGCTGGGACTGCGGGCGTGGCCCTGGGTAACAATGTCTTATCAGATTTCAAGGGATAAATTCCTAACCCTAAATTAATAAATGAATATACCCTAATGTTAAATAAACCACTTGAAGAGTTTGCCACGTGGGAGCACCTATCTTTTAAGGAATTACCGAAAGCTTTAATTGAGTTTTAGTGTCAAATGCATGCCGATGATGCTACTGTGAGAGGAAATGCGTTGCAAACGAAGCACAAATGGAATCATTAACTCAAACGGCTCTTTGTGACATGGCAGCCACTCTAGGAAAGGAGTCCATGGAGGCGATCATTACCTGAAGGCCCTGGCTGTGCCTGCTTTTCCTCTCAACTCAACTAGTCCTCTCTAGCCATCCCGAACTGGCCTACCGCAGCTAAAACAAGACTGCTGAATGAGGAAAGAAACAGAAAACATGTGGGAAAGAGAAGGCACAAAGGCCAACCAGACAGTATGCAGAAGCAAGGTCATTAGGAGAAGCAACCAGATACATTATGCACCAGAAAGAACACATTCAGGGAATTACAATCTCTTCTACATATTCAGCGACTGGGCTCTGGTGGTAGTTTACACACAAGAAACGACAGCACAAGGTCTGCTCTTGAAGCTCACCTGGGGGATTTCTGACAGTGAGCGATCTACATTATCCAGTTTAGAATAGAAAAGAACATGTCTTATTTTAAATACAGTTAAAATGTTTTCAAAATAAATACCTTAAACTTGTTTCCCACACTGATGAAGCTAAGTTTTCCTGCTTTTTGTTTAGTGTCTTTGTTATTATTTGTGGATGATTCAAATAACTCCCGTATAAACTTATCCCTGGACTCACATATTAAGGACTCAAGGGACATATGTAAAGCATCATTATTTTTCTCCACAAACTGGGTCTGAAAAATAAATCAAATAGAATGTTTCAGTCCATCTTGTGACACACACCCCCAACTCCGCGCGTCCAGTGGTCCTTTCTGTGATCTGTGGCAACGGAAACACGCTCTCTGCGCCATCCAGTTCAGCTGCCAGGACCTGAAATGTGCCTGCTGCACTGAAGAACAGACTCTTGCATCTTATTAAACTTCAATTTAAACAGCTACTCTGAATCAGCCAGAGCTAGCGCCTCGGACAGTACAGCTTCAACTTTGAAGGGTTTTCTCCCTAAAAAGGACACACTCACTGTTTCGTAGCACACGGCCCCTGCAAAGTGCCTGATGATAAAGCCTTCATCATCTCTGAGATTCCTATGAACTGCCAGCTTGGATTTCCTGGGAATCTGAAAAACCGGACATACAGGCATTATTAAATCCTCAAAATCAGACTTCCTAACATTCCTTCAGACAACACTTGAGGTGTAAAATACTTCGGATCAGAAAGCTCACAGTGAGTCGGAAATGGTCCTTGTGCTTCTGGTGAACTGCTGATGTGAAGTGCTGGTCACTTGGCTGGGGAAGGCGATTTTCTTCATCCAAAATATCGAGTATTCCCACTAATTTCGCCTCAATTAAATCTATTTTAAAAAGTAAAGACGAATTCATGATAGGGTAAAAACATTTTAAAGATACAGTGAACAATTTGCTGATTTGCCCACATTTCAATGGAACAGATAATTCTGAAATATTTTATCCATGGCTATCGGGAACAGATGGATTTTTCTTTGAAACCTGACCATTTGTTAAAAGGTAGTATCATAGTTTTAATGTAGGTTTTAGGAAAACAATTCCATGCAGAAAGCAACTAACATAATAACAATTCCATTTGTAAAGTAGAATAAAAGGCTAAGGAATCAGAAATTCCCCCCTTCAGAGATGGCATCTATATTCAAATTGAAATAAACTACAGTGACTCTAGTGCTTTTAAGCAAGACTTTTCAATATGCACACGTTTTTTTAGACCAGTGTCTTGCTGCTGCCCTTTTTGTCCTGAGGTCCTGGCCCCCAGTGATCCAGACCTGCAGCGTCTGGGACACGGATGTGCACCACTGCTCCCCTAGAAGCACGTTTTCCTGTTCCTTTGATTGGTGTTTAGATTTCCCATCTGTCCAAAACAACTTTAAAACCTCTTAAATGTGGTATGTAAAACTGTTGAGTGTGGCTGAGCTCTAAGGCACAGCAAGAGAAGTTAAGATTCTTACTGCACTGACCAGAAAAGGTTGCTTCTTGAGCTATTAATGGCTGTGGGGAGGAGGTGGCCCAGCGGTGAGTGAGCTGTGATGGGGGGGCTGCAGGGCAAACAGAGGGAAGGAGCTGCAACCAATCAGCAGGCCCAGCGTGAAAGGCACAGAGGTGAGGAGGGCGCGGTGGCTGAGGGATGCCAGGGAGATGTGACCGCGCTTCTGTCCACTTCCTGTCTGCCCGGGGTATACCCACCAGTGCTGTTTACGCTACAGCATTCATTTGGGTAAGAAAGAAGTCGTTTCTGTTTAGAAATTACACCAATAATTGTTTTTATATTCTTTTTCACACTTAGTCTGATTTGCTTCAGCTTCAAAAAGCATGTTTCTGTAAAATTAAACAAGCACTAGCAGCCAGCTGCACTTTCCTCAACAGGAACTGGATTAAAGGTTGTACTGATGTGATGTCAATGTGCTGTACACAGTGTAGCACACAAGTTCTTGTCTGCATTGTTAATGGGGTTTCCGAAATAAGGCTTGCGGCGTCCGGGATTTGGCTCAGTGGTTCTGCCACCTGCCTCGCAAGTGCAAGGTCCCGAGTTCGATCCCCGGTACCAAAAAAAAGCTTGTGCAACAGCTGATTTAGAGGTGAAGTGGAAAAGGAAAAGAAGACTGAAGGCTGCTGGAAAGAGAGGGGTTTCTTTAGCACTCAAAGAGAACAGCGGCCCTATCCTCCTGCTGCTGCCCTGTCGCATCTAGAAATGACATGGGACCTGCTGACAGCAACCTGCCACCAGGGAGTGGGCGCTGCTAGCATTCAGAGATTAACAGAATCCCAGGAATCCCAGGCAAGCCCCTCCCCCACCGCAGCCAGGCCTAAGTGTGGGCTTCATCACATGACCGGTCCATCAGCTGCAGAGCAACTAAATGTCCTTCTTACTGGCTTATATGTTAGCTTTTTAGGTAGGAAAAACACACACCATAATAAACAGAAGAAAAAATTTTTTTTAATTTTCAACAAAGCTGAATTTCATGCCTTGGCTTTGAAGCAGTACAAAAGCAGTAAACCTCAAATACGGCAGTTTTCATAGTTTCCTAGTAACCTCAATCTCAGAGCACAGAAAAATTACTAATAAGCACATTTACTGCATCTTCCCATACTCCTCACAGGTGTAATAAAAATACATACCTATGCAGTCCTGATTATCCACATAATGCACTTCATTAACACCTAAACCTTCTTTTTGATACAGTTCTTGTTCCTAGAATATAAAATAATCATAACTATAGATACAGAATTATATTAAATCAAGTCAATGTTTTGTGCACAATCATTTGTGCCATTTTTTGCCATCGTAACAATTAGTAGTGAAAATGCAAAGATTTATACCAACTAACATACATGCTTTCCAAAGATAGAATAAATTTTGAACATTTGCAGACAGGCATTAATATCACAGAAATGACAATGACCTGCCAATGGGTGCTGGAACCTATATAGTGATATAACATATGTAAGGCATAAATCATCTGTGGGAAAGTACAGAAGTTTTAAGAATAATATATAAGTGAAAATTGCTCACTAGAAGTAACCCTAGTGTCTTCTGAAATTTTCTGAAAAAAGTTTTATCCTGTCCATTAAAACCCAATCTGGGGGGCTGGGGATTTAACTTAGTGGGGCCACCCCCTGCCTTGCAAGGGCAGGTCCCAAATTCAATCCCCTGTACCAAACTCAAAACAAAACAAAAACCAATCTGGAGCCAGGGATATAGCTCAGTGGTGCTACCATCTGCCTCACAAGCACAAGGTCCTGAGATCAATCCCGGTACAACAAAAAATAAATTAACTAATTAAAATCTGAATTTAAAATTCACATTTACATTAAAGGATTGTTACAAAAGTAAATCAAAATCATAATGGTATCTTCTCTTTATACAGCTCCTGTTTCTGTGTAAAGCTTCTTGCTGGATTGGCGTGGAAAGGAAGGATTAGGGTACTTTAAAAGCAGGGGATGAATGTAAAATTTCATCTGGTAATGGAAGGACTAATGTGAATGACTGGATGAAACATTCTCAGAGAGACTATCTTGCTGATAAACATTTATTTCACCTGTTCTGTTTATGACAGAAGTGGTTTACCCTTAGCATATAAATAAAATGAACAAAAGCTGAAGTGTGCTGGGAAGCCCACAAAGACAAAAATATAATAAAATTGTGGGAAGACAGATGGAACAGGAAAAGAAAAGAATACAGTGAAAGAACTCAGAAGATAGCAGTACAAACACAAAGTAAGTACAAGGATATTTGGAGGAAATACTGGAGAATTCAGTTTGGAAGGTAAAAATGAGCCTAATCACAAATCATCTGATCCAAAGCTACCTCTATTTTTATTCCATTCTAAATAACTATACAGGAACTTTCTTAGTTTTGGTATCTGGAGAGTTCGTCATGCCAATAGGTATTTCCTACAAAGCAGGGTGGCAGGAAGCTCTTCACTGAACTAGAGATACTGAGCGACCAATGACAGACCATTCACAGGCAGGTGGCAACCAGACAGCATGGCAGGGAAAGTACTGGTCAGAGGCACCCAGGCCAGGGGTGTGTGGAGTCCCCTGACTTGGCAATTTCACTGCTGCAAGACAGAGAAGGTAAGCAGGCAGCCAAATTAGCAGAAACAAACACCTGGAAGCAGGAAGGAGAGAGGTCCATGTCAGAGATGAAAGTAGAAAATTACTTAGCAGTGGAAGAAGTGAAGTTATCCAGAATCAGAAGGAGAAACAAGCCAACCTTCAAGTGTAGTAAAAGGCACCATCAAAAAAAAAAAAAAATCACAGATGTTTACTTGTAAGAGGAGACCATCAGATTTCTTATTAGGTCTCCAAATTTCCCTGAATCATTAACACTTCCAGGGCATCCCTGATTCCCTAGGCTACCTGACATTATGCCCCCTGAATCCAGGTAACTGCACCATGTCTCTCTGTCATGAAATTTAAAATGACTCAATGCGGATCTTAAATGTAAACTACAGTAGCTTTTCTACCCTACGTATCTTCAACCCTCAGGACAAAGGCAATAGAAAACATGGCAAAGCATGAGAAAGCAAGGCAACAACAATAAAAAAAAAACAAAAAACTTAAATCCCCAAAAGCTGGTCACACAGGAATTAAAGTAAGTTACAGGCAAAGAACTAAAAAAATCAAATGATTATAGTAATTTTTAAAAAAGCCCATAAGCAAATTCATAAACTATTCAGTGAGCTTAAATAAAATTTAAATAACAATTAAGAATTTAATTAATAAAATGTTCAGAGAGCTTAAAAAAGAAACATAAGCTGGTTGAGGTAAAACAGTACAAAATGTGAACGGTCATTTTGTAAAGAATTAGAAATTATGGAAAGAAATCAAGTAAAAAGTATGGGTTTGCTCAATGTGAAGACAGTGTCAGCACTTGAAGACAAGATTGATTCTGTAGAACATATAATCAGTAATACCCTAAAAATATGATACCCAGGAAGCTGGATCTAACAGCTGTGAGACAATTCAAAAGAAACAAACATAAGAATTACAGGAATAAAGGAAAATTAGAAGACATTAAAGGAAATTAGAAGAACAGGTATAAAAACGTATTCACTGAAATAATGGCAGGAAAATGTTCAAATTTCAGGAAAAGAATTCATAATTCAAGTGTAAGAGGCACAACCAAATAGCCACAACCAAAAGAAGCAGCTCTCCGTAACACATCATAATCAAAATTTCAGAAATTCAACTGAAGAAAGAGTACTAAAAGCTGTTAAGAGAAAAACAGCATGTAATGTCAAGGCAAGACTATCAGAATAACTGAAGATTTCTCAGCATGAACCTTAAGGGTCAAGAGAGCTTTCAGTGAAGTTTTTCAAGCCCTAAAAGAAAGTAACTGTCAACCCAGACTTCTATATCCGACAAAATTAGTGTTCAAATCTGATGAAGAAATAGAGTTACAATGACAGAGAAATGCTAAAGAAATTCATGAGCCCTAAATCAGCATTGCAGAAAATATTTAAAGGCAACCAAGACAGCGCTAGGAAGACCACTAGCAGCAAAGAGCCCAAAGAAAAGTATATACCTGATGAGGAGAGCGTAAACAAAAGGGAGAAAATACAGGAATAAGTACTGGAAAAATAATGTAATAAGAGGCTTCATTAAATACAATAATAACTCTCAATGTTAATGGACTTAATTCTGTAATCAAAAGACACAGACTGGCAGGTCAGATTTAAAAAAAGAAAAAAAAAAAACCCAACCATCCATTGCCTGAAAGAGGCACACCGCATCCTCAAAGAAACACACAGACTAAAAGGGAAAGCATGGAAAACTAGAGCCTGAATGTAAACAGGGACAACCATCTTCTTTATAGATACAGCAGACTTCAAATGAAATCTCATCAGAAGAGACAAGATACACACTAGTAAGGAGAACAATTCAACAGGAAGAGATAACAATTGTAATCACCCATACACCAGATGTCAGTACATCCAATCTCATAAAACAGAAACTGCTGGACATAAAAGTACAGACATCGATACAGTCAAATCAAGAAGGCTTCAATACTCAACTATCACACATATACAGGTCAACATGACAAAAAAATTCAAATTAAACACACCACTGAACAAATGAACTTAACAAATTTCTACACAGAGCGTTTCATCCAACAATAAGACACATTTTTCTCAGCAGTACACAGAACTTGTTCAAAAGACTGCTTAAATACAAAACAACTGAAATAATCCCCTGCAAACCACTGGATCACAGAGGAGTAAAGCTAGAAATCAATAGCAAAGCAATCACAGAAAGTACACAAACACATAGAGATTAAATAATATATTATTAAATAATCAATGGGTCACAGAAGAAATTGGGGAAGAAATTAAAAAGCTGAGAGAATCAAATGACAATGGAATCCTCTGAGACACAATGAAAGCTGTTCTAAGAAGGGAACAGCAGTGTATGCACCTATTAAAAGAACAGAGTGATCCCAAATAACCTAATCCTGCAAATCAACAACAATCCAAATCTGAAACTAAAAAAAAGGAAAGAAAATATAATGATCAGAGAAAAAAAATGGATGAATCTGAGACAAAAGAAAAAAAATTTTAAAGATCAATGAATCCAAAAGTTGGTTCTTTGAAAAAATAAACAAGAAAAGCACAGGACTTGATGCATTCACTACAGAATTTTACCAGAACTTCAGGGAAGACCTAATGCTAATATTTCTCCAACTCTTCCATGAACATAAAAATGAAGGAGCACTACCAAACTCACTGCTGTAAACTAGCGTTATCCTGATACAAATCCAGACGAGGACTTACCAAAACAAAACAAAACTAAACTAAACTAAACTACAGGTCAATCTCTTTATGAACATAGGTACAGTAATCTTCAACATGATACTGGCAAATAAAATGCAACAAATCATTAAAAAGACCATACCACTTGATGGAGTAGACTTCATCCCAGGGTTCCAAGGATGGTTGGACATACATAAATTGATAAACATAACACATCATTTAAATAGAAGCAAGGACAAAATTCACATAATCATCTCAATACTAGATGCAAAAAAGGCCTTTGACAAAATCCAACATCCACTCATGATAAAACCCTGAAGAAAATAGTTATAGAAGTGCCTTGTCTCCATCTAATAAAAGCCACTTATGACAAACCTACCAACATAATATTAAGTGGGCAAAAACTGAAAGCTCTTCCTCTAAAATCTGAAACAAGACAAGGATGTTCACTGTCATCACTCCTGTTCAATACAGTACTCAAAACTGTAGCAAGACCAATCAGTCAAAAGAAAGAAATGAAAGGAATATGTATAGGAAAGGAAGAAATCAAATTAGCCTTATTCACAGATGATATGATCCTTTGCTAAAGACTCAAAAAATTTTCACCAAAAGACTCCTACAACTGTAACAAATCCAACAAGCACCAGGATATAAATCAACACACAAAAATCAATAACATTCCTATACACCAATAAAGAAATCAGGTAAAAAATACCATTCACAATAGCTTCAAGAAAAATCACTAGCAATTAACCTAACAAAGAAAATGAAAGAACTCTATCTTTTAAAAGAGAACTCTGAAAAATAAAAAGAGATCAGAAAATGAAAAGATATCCCCACATCTTCAAAACTAATAATGCAACCCCAATCAAATAACAGCCTCATCAGAAAACCAGAAAACAAAAACAGTACTAAAATATATGGAACCAATAATCACCAAAACAATCCTGAGCAACAAGAGCAAAGCAGGAGGCACCACAATCCCAGATTCCAAAAAAAAAAAAAAAAAGCACGATACTACCATAAAACAGACATAGATCAATGAAACAGAATGGAGGATGCAAAATCAACCCAAGGCATATTTACCATGTTATCTTTAAGGGGTCAAAAATATACCATGGACAGAAGATAGTCTATTCACCAAAGAGTACTGGGAAAAGTGGTTCTCCACATGCAGAAAAAATTAGTCAAGGCTCATATCTCTCACCCTGTACTAAAACTGAATCAAAATGAATTAAAGACCTGGATTATGAAACAGAAATCATACTAAAACAGAAACACTGAATCTGTGGAAAAATAAAATGTGTCAAACTCTTGAAGATGTGAGTAACAGCAAGGACTTTGGGAACGGAACCTCAATTGCACAAGAAATGACATCAAAGAATCAAGAAATGAGATTATATCAAGTTAAAAATCTTCTGCACCACAAGGGAAACAACCAACAGAGTAAAAAGCCAATCTACAGAATTGGGAAAAATTTGTCCCCTATTCCTTGGATAAAAAGCTAACATCTAGAATATACAAAGAACTCAAATAATTAGACCCTCCAAAAATAAAAGACCCAACCAAAAAATGAGCCACTGAAATGAGTAAGATGACTTCTTCAAAAGAAAAGTACAAATGACTAATAAGTCATGAAGAAATACTGAACATCTTTGGCCGTTAAAGAAATGCAAAAGAAAATACTGAAATTCTATCTTAGAAAGAAAAGCTATCTACAAGATCTCGAATTTTGTATTGTTTTGTTTTCTGAGACAGAATCTCACTATGTAGGCCCAGCTGGTCATGGAACTTGAGTCCCTCCTGCCTCAGCTTCCCAAGTGCTACAATTACAGATATATGTCACTACACCCAGCATACACTTTGAGACCATAATGACAAGCCAAATACATCAAACACACAAGCCTAACTATCATACGACCTCTCTTAACATGAGAAACCTACAGTATAACTAATTTAAAGAATAAAAGAAAAGACAGATGAAACAGGGAGATAGATCTTTTGTAAATGGAACAGCATCTAGAGATGCGGCAGGTTAAAAACAATTAAGATATTTTCAGGTACATGTACCTACTCCCGACAATGAATTTAATCATTACCTATTACAAATGTACTTTAAAAAAAAAGAACTTAAAAAACAACAAATGCTAGCAAGATTGTGGGGAAAATGAAACTCTTCTACATTTCTGGTAGAAATGTAAACTAGTGCAACCACTATGTAAATCAGTATGAAGATTCCTCAAAAAACAAACAATAGAAATTCCATTTGCTATGTATTCTACCGAAAGAGTTAAGTCCTCACATTACTATGATGTATGTGTATGTTTACCAAAACACAATTCATAACAGATACACCCTGGAAGTGGCCTGTAGCCTGGCCATCAACAGATGAATGGATAGAGAAAATGTGCTGTTGAGATACAACGGGCATAAAGAAGAATAAATTCAAGCCAGCTGTAGGAAAACGATGCAGTTTGAGAACCATAATGCTAAATGAAATAAATCAGACGCACAAGGTTAAATGTTGCACAGTTTCATTTATTTATTTGTTTGTTTGTTTATTTATTTTTGGTACTGGGGATCGAACTCAGGTCCTTGTGCTTGCAAGGCAGGCGCTGAAACCACTGAGCTAAATCCCCAGCCCGCACAGTTTCTCTTATTATGAGAAACTCAAAGTATAAATAATTTAAAGTGCAAAACAAGACAGATCATAATAATAGATATTGAGAAATGGGAATGTTCAAATAAGAAGGAGAACAAAGGAAAGGGGGAGAAAGGAACAAGAAAAAAAGAATAGAAGTAAAAATGGAAACAAAGCTTTTATAAGTAAGGAGGGGAAGATGGGTTGAAGGGAGGGGAGGGGAATGGAACAAAGCAGCAGCAAGATATACACTGTACAGGTAAAAATTCCCTAGGATGAATGTGATATTGTACATATCTAAACTGTACCAATAAAATTAAGATGAAGAACACAGGACAGAGGGAGGCAGACTCTGGAGATGCGGAGGGGGCTCGGGACGAGGGGGGACAGGAGGGCAGGAAACAGGAGGAGAGGTGACAGTCAGAGCGCACTGCATACACATCTTGACACCCGCAATAAGGTGACTTATATATTGCAGACACTAACAAAAAAGCTGAAAATAACAATACAACTATGAAAACATAGATTAGAACGGCAATTACCTCCTTCAGAATCCTTTCATTAAAAAATTGTTGCAGTTTTTCATTGCAGTAGTTGATACAAAACTGTTCAAAACTGTTATGTTCAAAGTACTCTGAAAACAAAATCAGAACCAAGGTCAGTATCACCAGAGCAAATTCATATAAATTATCTTAGAACAAAATACTATTGTAGCAATGAAAATTTAAGATTAGGCTGAAGAACATATGCAATTGTTCTATACTCCCCAAATATTCTTATTTCAGGACAAATTCTGCTAGGCATTAAGTATTAAAAACACCTTGTTCTAGGAGAGCCACGCCTTCTTCCGGCCCGGCAGCCATCGCTCTGGCGCCGGGAAGGTAGCTGTGCAGGCCCCTGAACCCCTTAACCCACACCCCCCACCTGCACTCTCAGACCTCCTGACTGTGCAAGTCATCAAGGGTATTTTTCTGAGTTCCCAACTTTGAACATCTTTAAAGAAAGGGTGTGGGAAACCTGTAATAGAACGTTGTGGAGTTCAACCATTTAGAAGGCTGGGGAACTCAATCTGGGCTTTGCAGTCCGAGGTCAGTCAGCGTCATGGGGTTCAGCAATCAGCTAACTGAGATCAGGGGTCTTGCATCCTTGCTCTGTCTGAGCCATTAAATGGTAAATATACTATACTGAAAAGTTTTTTCAGTGCAGACATGTTCTGGACTGCTTCTTGATTTCAATTTAATTCAAATGATTTAAGGGTGATAGATTAGTGACTACCACAGGTTGTCAGCTTCCAAGTTGTGCTTGATCATATTGTGTTGCTGGCTGGGATAAAGGATTATGGGTGATTTGATGAGCTGTTTTCTCTGATGTTATGAAGATGAGAATGTCTGTGGGTCGTTAGAGACACAGAAGCTAGGGTGCAACTATATCAGGAAGATTTGGGTGATAATCCAGAGATTAGACCAAGGACAGTCCGACAACAAAAATTAAAATGAGAAAACACTTAAGCAAGACACAAGGACAGACTTCCAGTTCACCAATGGCAAACAGTAGGGCAAATGAGGATGAAAAGGCTGATAGTGAACCACCAGGATACCCTGAACTCAAAGCACAGGAAATAACAAAACAGATCAATCAGCCTCTAGAAAAACTCAAAACAGAAATAATTTCCCAGATAACCATAGAGATAGTGAGCAAAATGGAAGTTGCGATTCAAGACTCTAGAGCAGAAACTGACAAAAAAATAGATGAGCTCAGGACCATGATAGAAGCCATGAAGGCCCAGCATAAGAAAGAAATGGAAAAAATAAACGCCCAACACAGGAAAGAAATGGAATCCATAAAACAGATTCAAACAGATATCCAGGAGATTAAACAGTCCATAGAAAGTGTACGCAACAGAATAAAAGAATGCGAAGATAGACTCTCAGATATAGAAGATAAGATTGCAGTCAGTGACCATGAAAAGAGAGGTCTCTTAAAAACAGTAAGGGATCATGAGAAATCACTTTAATTCCTAGATGATGCAAAGAAGAATAACATAAGACTGATAGGAATACATGAAGTAGCAGGAGAAATTACAAAGGACTTTAAAAAGCTGTTCGCAGAATTAATGACAGAAAACTTCCCAAACAGAGGGGAAGAATTTGACATTCAGATAACTGAGGCATATAGGACCCCAACTAGCTACAATCAAAAAAAAAAAATCTACACCTAGACATGTAATAATCAAGATCCCAGAAACCCAACAGAAGAACAAAATACTACAAGCAGTAAGAGAAAAGAAACAAATCACATACAAAGGAAAGCCCATCAGAATCACAGCAGACTTTTCAACACAAACCCTTGGGGCAAGGAGAGCCTGGAATGAGATATTTCAAGTACTAAAAGAGAACAACCTCCAACCTAGACTGATGTATCCAGCAAAACTCTCTTTCAAAATGGATGGGGAAATAAGACACTTCCACGACAAAGAACACCTGAGAAACTACATGAATACCAAACCAGCACTACAAGCAATTCTAAACAAGATCCTAGAAAAAGACAATGAAGGCAACAACACCATGAGGCCCAACAGAGCAAATCAAATAGGCAAGGCAAGAAATTAAAAGGAGAAGGTGAAAAAGTAAAAAGAGTCAACAAAAGGCCAATAACATGTCAATAATAAGTCAGTACATATCAGTTATAACCAGCAATGTCAATGGCCTCAACTCACCAATCAAGAGAAATAGACTGGCAAAATGGAATAAGAAGCAAAATCCAACAGTATGTGGTATACAAGAAACATACCTAGTGCAAAAAGAAGCCCATAGACTGAAAGTGAAAAGACAGAAAACAATTCTCCATGTGACAGGAGCCCAGAAAAAAACAGGGGTAGCAATCTTATTTGCAGACAAAGTAAATTTCAAACCAAAACTGAATCTAGTATTATTGATGTAGGACGGTACAGTATCATACCTCTATGAATGTAAAATATCTTGCATCTGCTTTATGATACATAGTAGGATTTTTAACGGTGCTGCCAACTTTGGAAAAAGTCATCCCAATTTACTGTGTTCAGTTGGCATTGTACAGAAATGGACAGCCATACTGGTCTAGAAATGTTCATTTTTTTTATTTTTATTTTTTATTTTTTTTCCACGTGTACAGGAGTAACACATCATACTAAGTATGTAAGGTCACATCTATGAGGGTTAGATTACAGAAACTAATAAAGTATTCTCTAAATAATGAAAAAAGAAAAAGATGAGACTATAAGAGCAAGAAGCAATTTAAGTATGTTCAGGGACCATTTTCATCTCCAGAATTAAGGATTATTTTAATGTTACATCATTGCCTTTTCTCTTTTACTTTGCTTTTTAGTTTTATTTTAGGATTCCCTATTTTTAATGTTCATACAGAGATCTCTTTAACTGAAATACCGAATAATTTCTCTGGTGTGAAAAACTATAATAGTACACAGGATCCTAATGAGATAATTAATAATGTGAAATAGGAAGTAAAGGGCTAAAGGTGTAGGGAAAGTGGGAAGGGTGGGGGAAAGGTAATAAGGGAGAGGAAAAAAAATATGAGAAACTGAAAAAATGGAAATAAAGTGTATGTAAATGGGGTGGGGAGGAGGGGGTGAAGGGAGGGCAGGGACAAGGGGAAAAAATGAGAATCAAGAACTATTATGTAAAGGTACAGAATCCCAATGATGAATGTAACTGTATTGTATACCTAGATTGTATCAATAAACTCAATAAAAAGATAAAAAATAAAATGAAAAACACCTTGTTCTGACAAAAAAAGACATTGGTCAGATGAGATAAATGTTATACAGTAAAAATAAAATACAATGGAAGCCACTTATAGTTTCTAAAAACATAGGTATAAAAGCAATCTAAAGCTCAAATGGCTCAAAATGTAATTCTTCTTAAGACGTTTTTGTGCTTGATCTGTAAAACTATAGTTCTCCAAAAACATGATGGATCCTGATTCATTCCTGAAATTAAAAGACTGCTTTACATACATGTACAGAGCTCTGAAATCTTGTGATGTCATATGTATGTGTTGTATGCTAAAACTACTGTAGGTCAAGAAACAAAGACAGTAAAGTCAAGCCAGTGAGGGGCTTTATCTGCCTCTGAATGAAAGATAATTTACTATAAATTATTAACTATATACCACATGAAAAGCAAAACTCTGTCCCTCTCCAAATGTAAGCACTCTGATCTTCCCTTGACAAGGGCAAACAAACCACAAAGGAGAAACATGCCAACACGCCTTCAGGCCCAAAGAAGCCCCCACATTGACAGAGGCCAATATAAAAACCACCAAATTTACTGCAAGATTTCTGCACCACAGTCATACAGAACACAGCAGAATCGGACTGTATTTAGTGGTCCACTTTATTCCTGGTTGAACACTCCCAAAGTTATTCACAAGGACTTATCTGGGTAACATCTTCATTTGATGGAAAATGAGCTGGAAACAGGTACTGGCTCACAACACTAGCAGTGGGACCTACGCAGAGCGTGAGGGTGGCCCCTGTGAGTGCTGGGGAACCCATGGCACATGTGTCCAAGCCAGCTAGCTGCTTGCTACCACTGAAAGCTAAAAGGTTCACCGTTCATGGCCTAAATGTTACATTAACCTGCACTCGGCACATCATGTTAGTCTGTGGTTTTAGTGACTTTAGTCTTAATTAGTAAGAGTCAAAAGTTTATCTTGGGGCCAGGGATTTAGCTCAGTGGTTCCACCACCTGCCTTGCAAGCACAAGGACCCTAGTTCAATCCCCAATACCAAAAAAAAGTTTATCTTTATTTCAGTTATATTCGCTTAAGGGAATACAGGTGTCTTAACTAAAGTGATTTCAATCAATATGTTTTAATTTTGGCTTTAGTGTGATTAAAAAAAAACTACCCACAAGGAATCTTTTTGTTAAAGCATCAGCTTCCTCGGCCTATACATCTATCAACAGATAAGTGGACAAAGAAAATCAGGTACAGACACACGATGGAATACTACTCAACCATAGAGAAGGATAAGTCTGTGTCATCTGTAGGAAAATAGATACACTTTTAAACCACAATGCTAAGTGAAATAAACCAGACACAGGAGATTAAATATAATATGGTTTCTCCTATATAAAATTCAAAATATAAATAATTTAAAATGCAAAATAAAAGTTAGGTGATAAGAAAGTTTGCAGAGATGGGAAGGGGATCGAGGGAGGAGAGAGAGAGGAGGGAGGAGAGAGAGAGGAGGAAGAAGAGGGGAAGGAGAAGCAAAATGATTAAGAAGCAGTACATGCACGTACCAGTTTGGAATGTGTTTCGTACGATCTATCCCAAACGGAAAAAATATACAACTAAGGGGTGAGGCGGGACAAGAGCAGTGAGGGGTACAGTACGTACAAAGCATGAACATGCACGAATCTGCCAGAGTGGAAGCCACGAGCACGCACGGCCAACACACACTCACAACGGAGAGGTGAGGCCACAGGAGCACTGCTTCCTACGTAAGGCATCTAATACGGCAGACGTCAGCACATGCCTGAAAATACGTCAGCTGGAAGGCATTAGAGGAGAACCTTAAAGTATTTTTCCTATGTGAAAAGAAATGCCAAACGTGCGAATTCACAAACGAATCCGTACTTACCAAAGCCAGCAATATCCAAGACTCCAATAAAGTAGGAGGATGTTTCGAATGGGAAACACTGGTTCACTCTGTTCACCACGTGATCGAAAAGATGGCTGTAGACTGTCTTCGCGAGGGCGTCCCGGGCGTTGTTCGCTTGCTCCACTTTCAGAGGGACCCTGAAGGGAAGCAGGGAGAGACTGCCAGGGAGCACCCACGGGCCCTGTGAGGAGCAACTGCGCAAACGCTCCGTGACGACACAGCCCCCAGAGTCCCGCGTGACGAGCGCGCCGGTGAAGGGGGCTAAGGAGAAAACTGCACCAGCACAGCAAACCCCTCTGCGGGGCACCCTAACTGCAGGCTGTGCCCTCACTCCACGCTGCGTATGGACAAGCACTCGGGGATAAGCTTCCTCTTGACTTTCCTTACATGCAAGAGAAACTGTTTAATTCAAGATGACTTCAAATTTTAATTTATTTTCCTTGTTTAGAAAAAAAGAACAGTTCGAATCTTAAAACCTGAGCTGTGACTACTGCTTAACTAACTACAAGGCACCACCGCATCAGCTCGGCAGGTAACAGCCCGCCTGCAGCCTGGGGAGACACTACAGCCTCACAGCAGAGGCATCATGCCACAGAGATATGTATGTGTACACCCATGTTTATAGCAGCACAATTTATAATAGCTACATTTAACAACAGCCCATACGCCCATTAACAGATAAGTAGATCAAATGCATAAGGAAAGTGTGGTATTTACATACAATAGAGTACTACTCTGACATAAAGAAGGATAAATTGGAGTCATCTGAGGGTAAATGGATGCACCTCAAGACCAAAATTTTAAATGAAATAAGTCAAACACACAAGTTTAAACATCACATTGCTTCTCTTGCGTGTGAAACTAAAAGGGTAAACAAGATAGATACTGGGAAGCAGGAAAAAGATGTTCAAATGGGAAGGGGAACAAGCGGGGGATGGAGAGAAGGAAAGAAAAAAGGATTTAAAAACAGAATGGAGGGGCCGGGAATTTAGCTCTGTGGTTCTGCTGCCTGCTTCGCAAGTGCAAGGTCTGGAGTTTGATCCCCAGTACCAAAACAAAAACAAAAACAAAACAGAATGGAAGGTAAAAAATGGAAATATGAAGCTTCTTCCAATGGGGAGGGGAAGAAAGACTGAAAAGAGGGAAGGGGAATGGGAAAAAAGAATTAAGATATATTATACAAAGGCACAAATTCCTTATGATGAACATGATCGTTCATTTACCATTAGGTATGGTAAATACTAATAAAAATTAAGTAAATAAAGACTTTAATAAACAAATCTAGAAAACATGTTTGCAATAGACATGGATGGGGTGCGACAGTCTGGAACTGGGGACATTTATGTGTCTGGGGGGCAGAATCTGTCCATCAAGAAACTTTGCGCTTGCTTTACAGGAGAAAAACTAAGGCCCACCAACTGGTAGGGAGAGAATGGCTCATTTCACAAGTGAAAGGATGGCCCATTTTAGAGGGGAAGTCGGGGCACCAATGTGCTGTCTTGCTTAAGGTCAAGTTTCTGCCCTAAAAAAGTCAAACTTGGAAGTATTTTTAAAACTCATTTAGGTCAGTCTGACACTGGAGTCCCACTAAACAGCGCCTTTCCTGCTTATAGTTCCTGCAACGCAACCCTTTCTTGAAGCGAGTTTCATGTGGCTGTCCTGTCCAGAAAACACAGAAGACCTGCTATTTGGTGCAGCAGTAGGAGGTGACAGAGACTTGGGTGGGTGCGGTTCCAGGCAGCAGGTCACGGGCCTGTGACACAGACACCGGAGACCAAGTCTCACCGGGCCTTCCTGTCCGCTTCCCTTCCTGTCTGCCATACAGTTCCGCCATGCCGCTGCCGCCTCACCACAGGCCTAGAAGCAACGCAGCTGGCTGAGCCTGGACTGAAACCTTTGAAAGCGAGCCCAAAATATCTTTCCTCCAACAAGTTGTTTTTCTAAGGTATTCGGTCACAGAGATGAAGAGATGACTGACTCAGGCGCTGCACTGTAAATGGCACACAAAGCTATGATAATAATTTAGAACTAGCAAAAAAAATCAGACTAAGCACATCCTCCTAATATCTCTAGATGTGTCAGAGGTAGCACTATGATTACTTGAAAGCTTTTTAAAAAAATCCTTGGCTGGGCAAAGTGGCACACACCTGTGGTCCCCGCTACAAAGGAGGCTGAGGCAGGAGGACTGCTTGAACCCAGCAGTTCAGGGCCAGCCTGGAAAAACCTAACCAGGCTCAGTCTCTTAAAAAATAAAGAAAGATAAGAAAACAAATAAAACAAAAATGTCATCCACTAAAAGAAAGTCTTTGTTTTAATTTTTTAAAGTATTTCTGAAGTAAGTCATTGGTACAATCTGCCTTATTTAGCAAAGGATGAAGGAACCTGAACTTTTTCCTCACAAAAGCCTAAATACTATTTTCACTCTACAATATCAGATTAAAAAATGCTTTAAATATAGGACATTGACCCCAGACTGTACATATACCTTGGCATAATCTAGAAGCTCTTGGTTACTGGTTTTAAAAATCTAGGCTGGACCCTCCCTTTACTTGCCATTTGCAATTTCCTTTAAATGAAGAATTCTAGGTAAGGAGAAATTCCATTTGCTGAATATTCTGCTAAAGTGAGTTCTACTTAGTAAAATTTTAGTTGTTATCATTTGCATGGAAAATCACTTTTAAAGTAAAATGACCTACTGTCTGAAATAGTCAGATATTCACAGCTGTACAAGTATAAACCTGTCTCTTGCCTTATAAATTCCTAACCCATGTATGTCGAACACATATCTGTAAAAAAACAGATATGAAAGCTTTGAAAGCTATGCAAAGCTCTACGTATTTATATGGCGGATAACTGGAGTCAGATATACAGAATTTTGATCTATCACACACAGCTTTTATAATATTAAAATGAAAAAAATGAGTGACATAAAAAGATCAACCTGGGGCCAGGGATTTAGCTCAGTGGTTCCACCGCCTGCCTCACAAGCACAAAGACCCGAGTTCAAAACCCAGAACCAAAAAAAAAAAGGTCAACCTGAAATCTTCATTTCTCAAACATATTTTTTCCCTTGACAAACTGCAAGGTAAGAAAGACTTTGTAAAGCAAGGCTAGAAACTTACTTTATAACCGTTCCTTTGGTGCCCCCTGCTGTCGTCAGCATAACTCTTGTGGTTAAACTTACTCGAAGATCATCTTGGTCCAAACCCAGTAACTCGGCACAATATTCTAACGACTGAGTAGATTTGTTCTTCAGATTGCACCCGCCTAAGGGGATACATTTTAATTTGAAATTAACAAATATTATTTAAAGCAGTCTTTTACGTTTAGAATCAAACCTCACATTTGGAACAACAAGGTTTACTTAAACTCATAAACCCACTCACCTTTCCCCGCCCTCATCCGATCCTCCCAGAGCAACGTCAGGAGACCCTGACTCAAGGTGAGCCCACAGCCCAACTGGCCTGGCTCTGCACTTTTGTTTTCCACACGGTCAGCTACCTGCCATCGAGTGCAGCCCAAAAATACCACATGGAAAACCCCAGAAATAAACAATTAATAAGATTTAAATTTGTACCCTTCCAAGCATCATCACAGAATCTTGTTCCCTCCCTCCAGGGACCTGAATCATCCCCTTGCTTACTGCATTCATGCTAAAATTATATCATTCTCAAAAAGCTCACTGCCAATAATTCATTTAAATATATCTGTTTTACCATATTGCAATGTTTCTTATATAACTCCAGCAATTATGAAAGCTAAGAAAATAATTTTTTAAATAGTCTTAAAAAAGGGAAAAGGCTATAAAATAATGTAAGGTTTTCATGTCACTGCCTTTCCAAAAAAAAAAATTCTTTGAACATTTTTAAGATATGCTGTCATAGTAACATACATTGTCATTATATAGAATTTTAAAAACATAGGCAGTCCCAATAGGTACATTCTATCTTTCTACTGTGCAGAAGTTTGTTTAAATGACTGTGAATGGTCTTACTACTAAAGAATAAACTTCCCAATAAAATAATTATAAAAATACGCAGTCTTTTTTTCCAGATTACTAGTACATGCCAAAATTGAGTTCTTTGGGGGATGGAGGGAAACGCGTTATAATTTAACAAATCATTTGGGCTTATGGGAGGAGTTACAGGAAAGATTAGAATATAATAAAACCTTAGCTATTTTAAATGAAAACATCCAGTTTATTAATTCTCTTGATCCACTGCCTTATTCCAGTCTTCCCTAATTTTCCTCATCTCTCCTGCAACAGAAGGAACTTTGAGAAGAAAAATAAGGGACAGCGTGCCCCGTCCCTTTGACTCTTAAGTTTTCTTCAACTAAGTGGATTGCGTGACACCTGCGACACGCACACACTGATGAGAGCCACACCGGGCAGTCACAGGAGCGCCCGTCACAGGCTCAGCAGTCTGGGGCCGTAAGGGACAAGTGTTACAAGCTCCAGGTATGAAGATGCCACCTCTCACTTCCAAGTGTGTCAATGCCTCCAAGCGTGTTAATTACTGTACACTCAAACTCTTTTCTGTGTATTGCTTTGAGTCTCTCACATGCACCCTTCATATCACAATACTGGAGAACAAATGAAATGTATATTAATATTCACTGAACTATCGAAATGAATTTACAAATTACTCTAAAATACTGATAAAATTTAATGCACATTTTCAAATAACCTAATTTTGCTTGTTTTTATTTTAAATAGGGACTAATCTTTATTCATTCACATACAGCCTTTACAGCGATTACCATGTTCCGAATCCCTGAATAAACACTTAGCTCATCTATTCCTCTTCACATCCTGAGGCAGGGGCTCTGATTATCCCTTTACAGGGAGGAGCTGAGGTTAAATTCCTCTGAGGTCAGCCAGCAGCCGGAGCATGGGGATGCCATCTGACTCAAGAGCAACGCTCTCATCTGCGAGGCTGTTCATGTTCCACACTACTGACTTCACAGGACACTAAAGCTGAAAGTCATCAAGACTGCCTGCTTCAGGCTGCTCACCCACAGGGCGCAAGCCACGGTAGCCTGGACACTAAGGGACAATCATCACCAGTCAGACTGAACTCACAGTGGGGCAGAACCAAGCTTGCTCACCTAAAATAGCACCAGTAATCACACATATTACTGAAATCCTGCGTAGGTTCCACTTCCGCAAAATGGAAATGATATCGCCTACCTCATTATTTCTACAATATTCCAATTATGTTCTATTTAACATGAAATACAGGCTATGAAGAGTCTTGCACATAGCAGAGTTTTTTTTTTTTTTCTTTCTGGCAGTCCCAGGCTTTGAACCCAGGGCCTCAAGAATGCCACTCTACTGCTGAGACAGTCCCATCTCCCTGACACACCCTGAAATGTCCCTTTTCCTTCCTCTAGGGCATATTCTTGCCAGGTATTTTATTTTCAAAGCACTTCTAATGGATTTTTGAAAACGAAATCAAGGCTTAAAGAGCCCACATTCCTGAACTGCTGTGTTAGTGGTACCAGGGTTGTCTCTAAGTCAACCTTAGTATAAAACTCTGAATAATGCATCAATGCAGGCTGACAATCTTTTTCCTCTACAGGGCCAGGTGGAAATGTTCTGGGCTTTCAGGATGCATGCCGTCCGGGGGACAATTGCTCCATGCTCAGTCCCGTGAGAGGCGCACGGACAGGGCACTGATGGACTCTGCATCTACAAGAACAAGGGCTGACCCCAACAGGGCTCACAGACATCGTTTGTCAATCCTGTATTCACGGATCAAAGTCAGACTCAGGCAAAGCCTCACCGTTCATGAGAAACTAGAACATGAGAGTAGAAAAGTCACTGTTCACTGGGCATTTAGATACTCTCCAATTTCTACAAGAATGAAAATCTTATTCTCCTTTCTCATTACTAAGAAATTAAACCCAGGACTTTTACACTGAGCTACACTCTCAGCCCTCTTTTATATTTTTTTTTTATTTTGAAACAAAGTCTTGCTAAATCCCTAAATTGCCTAGGCTGGGCTTGAACTTGGAATCCTCCTGTCTCAGCCTTCAAGAATGCTGGGATTACAGCCATGAGACACCACACCCAATATATTGGGTTTTACACATTACACTGTCCTGACCTATTAACTGATCCAAATTTAGACAGTGAACCAGAAAATTTTCAAAAACATCTTAGTAGATCATAGAAAATTAATGTTAATTACTAAAAGTATAATTTTAGTTGGAAAATTTATTTTCTTAATTGGGTTTATTGGTACATTTTAGGTATACAGGACAGTTACATTCATTATTGGGATCTTGTACCTCTTTACATGACAGGTCTTGGTTCTCAGTTTTTCCCCTTGTCTCTGCCTTAGTTGGAAAATTTAACTAAATATGACCCTACTAGTCAGAGCTACTGTTCGTTCAAAACAAAGCCCACAATGAGGCATTTAATTTGTCAGATTCATCATAAAACAGAGTATTCTAGAAATTTTAACAAACCTGCAAATAATTAGATTTGATTTTCATACAACGAAGAAATGACAGAAATACTAATTTTGTTCCTCTAAAACAGAACAAAACAAAACCTGAAGTGCTGCCGGCTTCTTCAAAATCAATATTTCCAAGGTGCAGGACACCAGCTACAACTCGGAATAGATCCAGCTTTTCTTCGTCACCCAAGCCAATTTTTTTCATGGCTGTGCACATTCGAATGAAATCTCCATGGTCATCTAACAGGGGATCTTTCAAGGAACCTGCCTTAAGGTACTACAGGACAAGAAGATACCAATTAACTGCACTTATCATTACCTAGCAAATGAGAAATGCTGTATCAGATCTATTACTGCAATACAGAACATGCAAAAATAAAATCTGTCAAGGGAAAAACAAGCATTTTCTAGCACATTCGAAAACGGACTAAAAGTATACACAAGACCTCTAGTTTTTCTTAAAAATGCATGTGAAATCGATAAATATTTCCATAAAACTTTCAATTAAAAGAAGGAATGAAAGCCGGGCATGGTGACTCATGCCTGTAATCCTAGCACTCAGGAGGCTGAGGCAGGAGGGTCGCTGTGAGTTCGAGACCAGGCTCGGCTACATAGTGAGTTCCAGATCAGTCTCAACTACATAGTGAGACCCTGTCTCAAAAAACCAAAAAAAAAAAGAAGGAATGAGATGATCTGTGGTTAAATTAGAATATTAACTCTAAAGCATCATAATTCTAGGATATTAGATAAAGTTATAAATTCAGAGAAAAAGGAGGAACTATCTATGGTTGAAGTGAACATCCTCACATCATAAGGAACTGAGGTAGTAATGGATATATGAACAGTTTAATCATTCCACAATTTGACATTGTACCAAATCAGTACATTGTGCCCTAGTATGTTTTACACATATATACAATTTTTATCTGTCAATTAAAAATAATGATAGAACAGGTTTAAATTAAATAAAAATTTAAATCTGACTATTAGCATGACACTACTTTAGGTTAACTGCCACCAACTACACCAGTGTTAAACAGAAGTACATAGTGGGCAGAGTGATGTAAGTCGAATTTCTTTTAACCTTTTCATATAAATACATATAGGGCAAAGTGCATTAGGAAGCACATGATTACTCTAAGAATTCATACAACTTAGAACATTTCAGAAAAAAGTGAAGAAAAGATCTGTTTTCTCTCCTAAAGAATTTGCATCCCAAGTATTCATTTGTTAGAACCTACAAAAACTCCGAAAAAAAAAAAAAATGAAGATTAGGCCTGCAAAAGCTAGCAAGAGAAACATAAAAAGTTCCTAGACACTGAATAAATGGCCTAGAAATTTTCCAGAACTTGAGAATGAAGAAGTTAAAATCAGGAAATGGCATCAGCATTAACTGGAATTAAAGCTGCCTCCAGATGTTTTTCTCTTAGCAATAAACAAGTAACCCGTTTTTTTCTTCCCAGCTGACGTTGTAATCATCTTTCCACAAGATTCTATTTTTCTTCTTCTCCTGGTTTGTTCTTGTTTTTCTGTAGCACTAGGGGTTGAACCCAGGGCCCCGGCACTGAACTACATCACCAGCCCTTGTTTGATTTTGGGGCAGGGTCTCACTAAGTCGCCCTGCCTGGGCTCAAGTCTGTGATTCCGCTGCCTCAGCCTTCTGCAGTACTGGGATTATGGGCATTGCCACCATTGTACCCAGCCCACAAAATTCTTTAAAGGTTCAATTAGGTGTGAAATTTCTGGAAAATATCTAAAACGTGAAATTCCATTTAATTCTTAGAAAGGAGCAAAAGAAGCAATCGCATGCAACCAGAGTTAGCAAAAAACACAAATGCAGAATTTTTAGTTTGCAATGGAATATTTGTTTCCATTGAAAAAGTGCTTCTAATCAAATATTAATAAATATATTTGCTATAAGGCAGACTAAAAATACTGCATCCTCCTAAAAATTACACGCAGCTTAAAAGACATTCAAATGAAACTAGGGAAAGATTTAATCAGTCAAATGATCACCTCGTCCTCCTGATAAAGAAAACATAAAAAGTAATTTAAACACTATTAATGCACTGTTCAACTACATATAATATACACACCCATTTTCTCTCTCCCCTCAGCCCCCATTCCCCTCCCTCACCCCCTCCTCCCTGTATCAGTAATGAGAATCAGGTTTCTGACACAGTACCTGACTCTAGAATAAGAATGTACTTCCTCTCTGGGGAGCACATGCCACTTTTCTGTCCTCCTAGTTTCTGTGCTGAAAGATCACATTTATATATATAATTTTATTTATTTTTATATGTGTAAAATGTGTATTTTGTCCTGTAGGACAGCTGCAATGTTCTAGGAAATGTCTTGATTATCTTAGTGGAAAGAACATATCTTCTGTATTTTTGATGTCTTTTAAAAGTATACTGTTACCAAAACAAAGAAAGATACCATAGTAATTATTAATGTTGCTTTTTAAAGTCCCAACCGTGGCTGCATCATAGTTTATGATTTATAATTCAGACATAAAATGTTGATTTTAAAAAATATCTGTAGGCAGGGATTTAGCTCAGTGGTGCCACTGCCTGCCTTGCAAGCACAAGTTCCCGAGTTCAATCCCCACTACCAAAATAAATAAATAAATAAATATAAATAGCCTTATCTGCTTAAGAGTGTGAAATGATGGGAATTTTTTGTCTTTCTATTCCTCTGTATGAATGTATGTTAAGACAAAATTCATCTTATCCACTGTGAGAGGAGTCAAAAAAGCCGGCTGACACATGTACAAGAATCAAAAACTGTCATAAAAACTTGTTCAATTAAATATTGATATAAATCATTTAATAAAGGCAATATTAACTAGAACCCTTAACTATTCCTACTTCATTTTAATAATTTAAGTCCCTTATTAATTCCACTTACACATGACATACTAAAATTTATAGATTGTACAGATTTACCTTTTTTTTTTTTTTGGTACCGGGGATTGAACTCGGGTCCTTGTGCTTGCAAGGCAGGCCACCGAACCGCTGAGCTAAATCCCCAGCCCTAGATTTAACGTTTTTTAAAGTAATATTTAATGTATAATTGTAGTTAATCACTCTTAGAAATAGAATAATTTATCGAGACCAATAGAAAACCTTTCATAATATACTTCCGAACATAATGTTTGAAACAGAGAAACTATCACACATAAGCACCATTTCACAAGAATGTTCAGTCTATTTCTTGCTGGTTTCAAACCCAAGTCCAGCCTTGAAGCAGACAATAAATTGAAGACATATTTTATACTTAATCCCAGCAGGCAATAAAAAAGGCAGTTTCAGTGCTGAAAGATGCAGCTTAGCTCTGAGGCCGTGCACAGGACGCCAAGGGGCAGCACGGAGCGAGGGGCAGGGCGAACAGGGGCCTGACTGAAGGTGGCTGAGGCTTTTCACGGGTAAGCGGAAAAGTAGGAAATCTGATTCGGGCTCCAGAGTAAAAATGTTTCTTTCAACATGATTTGTTCTGTATCAAGGATTTCAATTTTTTAAAAAACAGTCTACTGTACCTCAGGACTTTTGCGGTTCTGTGAAATCTGTTTGTCAGTTTCTTTGTTAGCAAAGTATCTTGTGCAGCCTCGGTTCAAATACTACGACAAAGAAATGTAAATATGATTAACATATACGATCCACAGAGAAATAATACAAAAGAAAATATAATTTGTCAAATAGTCTCAACCTAATGAATTTCTAAACACAAGTATTAGTCTCTCAGTTACAGTAAATACTTCTATATTTTATGAACATTTTAATCCTAAAAATAAAACACATTTAAAAATCCTAATCCCTGAAAGTAGATTAAATATAATGATTTAAATAAAAATCAATACCATAATCCTTTACTTTTACACAGCTGCAATTTTACATCTTCTAGTCTCAAGTATCTTTTTAAAATATAGTTCATAATATTAAGCATTACAGATGGTAATGAAAATTACCTTTCCATGAAGTATGCAGACTCTCAAATAAGGGTGCACATGATGATTTAACTTATATTTCAAGTAATAGTTTGAATTTGAATAATTAAGGACTATTATCCTTCACGTCTTCACAATTTCTGAATTTAGACTAGGTTCTTCAAAGTGACTTGCATGTACTGATAATTAACAGTGACTATAAATTACAATATTTGCTTTATGGATCAAATATTTCAATTTTCTTATTTCAAATATTTACACTGCTTCCCCAAAGCATTTTAAACCTAAGTGCTTTCAAAACGTAGAACAAGGAAGCTGGTGGATTAAAACAGAGGTAGAGCACTCGACATTTCAGATTTTCGTATTAGGATGTTCAACTTGGTAAAGTCAATGCAAATACTCCAAAATTCAAAAAACTCCAAACTCTGACTTTTTGTTTTGTTTTCTTTTCTGACACAGGATCTCCCCATGTAGCCCAGGCTGGCCTTGAACTCCTCGTGCCTCAGCCTCCCAAGGGCTGAGATCACAAACATGTGCCAACACACTCAGGAAACTCTGACACTCCTGGTCCCAACCATTTCAGATAAAGGCTGCTCAATCTGTAACATACGGTCACAAAGAGAACCTATTACACTTAGGAGGGTGCCAAGAAGGAAATGCACAGAAAACAGAATGGAAAAAAATATTTTAAACACATTGGCTTCTCTTAAATCAGGTCACTAGGATTCCATTATTTCAAGATTTTTTAAAAACCAGAAAAAAATTATTATAAATTATGGGATATTTTAGATGGTCAATTTTAGATGATCAATCTGTCACTCCCCTTCCATTATAATTAAATACTAAAATACAGCAAAATCAGGCAGAGGCATCACAGGCTTTTTCTTCTTCTTTCCTGAAGCTTTAAGATAAAAAGAAAAGAGGAAATATAAGACTGGTAAGCATTTTCAGTTGGCCTTAATAGAATATATGTAACTTGAGGCCAAAAGTTTTACTTACTAGAAAGTATTTAATGCAAGTATTTCACTCTACGATTTGACTTATAGACAGTTAGAACTAGTGGTAGTCCTTGTAGAGGGCCAAGGAACCAGCCCCAGCACTGTATGAACATAAAAACCCAGAAAGATACTTGTTTCTTCCATTTTATCTACATGAGAAAACTGAGCTATTCCTGCTACTCATACTCTATCCAGCTTTCACTATATTCAAGGATGTTTGTACCACAAAATATCAAAAATATTTTAAAACTTCTAATAAGATGAGCATTTAAAATTTTTATTTTCTAAAATACAGTACATGTGTAGTTAAGATAAATGTTTCCAAACAAGTATATTTCTACAATTCTTTATGTGCCAATTTAGATAAAATAATGACCAAAAAAAAAATCAACAATTTTAGAAGCACACACCCTACTATAGAGGCTCTCCTTTGTATACAACATGATTTATCAGGTGTAACCAGAAATCTAAACTATAACAGAAAAACTGATCAAATTATCCACACTTTCAAGTCTACTTAAAGCAGAATTATTTGGGGAAGGGACGAAAGGAGAGTCTCTGGGCCCCCAGGAGAGAGAGAGATGTGAGGAAGTTCTCCCACTCTGCCTATCACGAAGGGACTGCCCTGCACAAAGGAAATCATGCCTGCTGCTCATACTCTTTACAAAGGCAGGAAACTCAAAGGGCTGACAAAGCCAGGTCACTGTTATGATAGGTTATATGATTCAAAGTAAATTACGATCCCTTCCTAACAACAATAATAGAAACAGTCTCGTCTATTTTCATGAAAATAATAATGTTAGCAACTAACTTCAAATTCCAATTAACCCTTCACAGTTTCCCCAAGCATCGCTTGGGCAGCCCATCTGTGTGTGTGCTGACTATCCCAAGCATTGCTTGGGCAGGTGTTGACTGTTTTAAGATACACCATACACAGAAAAATTATGGAATAAATCCCACAAAATTGCCATGCTCACATTTCCTGTTGTGTTATCTTATAAAAATTAATGAAAAATATGCGCTTTCTGGTCATTCTATATTTAAATAATTGGACTGGTAAGTGGTTAATATGGAGACGCCCAGTCAAGACTGGACATTTTAGAAGCACATAAAGAGATGCACTTACAAAGCAAAGATGATTCTTAAACTTTCCAAATATACTTAAAAGAAGCTACCTGAAGTGAAAGAGAAACTGTCTGCAAAAACAAATGAACACAGAAAGTAATAATTAAATGTAAATTAAATAAGTGCGTCATGGTTTTCAAATAGACCGTTCCCACCCAAAGAGGGCCTTGAGAATCACCTGGGGACTTTGCACAAACCACATCCCTCATTCCCATCCTACAAGTCACACCACCATGCAGTCACATCGTTTTCCAGCTGAGATTTTGTACCTTGTCAGCCATCCCAACCATCACTTCTTCATACTCTACTCCCTGGGCGTATGGTTCTCCACATTCCTCATACTTCTTCCCTCCTTCCTTGGGCAACTTTTCGTGTGATTATCCCTATCAGCTCCAGAGCTGAGTCCTGCCACGTGCTTCTCTACATTATGTCTGGACAGTCGCCGATGCTCACTGCCATTTTATAACTATCACCTGAGTACTGGACGCTACTACAAGTCTGTCTCCAGCAATGACACTAATCTCCACATTAGTATTTCTGCCTTCTGGGTATTTCCACATAGATGTCCCCCAGGCTTAAAACTGAATGCATCCTCTGTGTCATAACCGTATCTCTGGACCCAATGATGGTATTTACATCCATCCACCTAATTATCAGAGTCAGTTTTTTAAAATTATTTTACATTCCTTCTTCTCCTTATTATAGTTAATCCTGAAGTACTATCAACATTACATTCTAATATCTTGCATAGTTTCTCCTCTATAACTGTCACTGTTAAACCAATTCAGGCACTTTAGCAACTCTTACTTCAACTGCAGTTGTAGGTTCCTAACCAATCTCCCAACGATTTCAATTTCTATCCATTCCCTCCCCTTAAACTTATCCTCCATACAAAAGTCAAAGACAAGCACAAATTTGGTGTTTATCTTTCTACCTAAGCCTTTCAGTAGCTCTCCAGCTCTCCCACCACTTCTGGCCTTACTCTTTATTATGTTTTCTGCCTTTCTTTGTTCATCTTTTCGGCATCTACCCAGAATACCTTTTGCATCTATCTTCACCTAGTGAACACTTGAAAATCCTTCAGGATTCTGATCTAATAATCCATTTTTCAGTAAGCCTTTCAATATCCCTAGCTGACCACATCATTCTGCACATACTTCTTTCTTATTTAACAAGTCAGCCAGACACTTGTGTGCATTTACCACAACATGCTAAGTGCTCAGGAACAAGGGTTATGTCTTCTCTTTTTAATCCTGGGACATTCCCTGGTACCTACTGGGCAGGCAATAAATATCTGTTACTGAAGTGAATTAAGGAATATAACCCTGTGTCTTTTACTAATATTAATTCAGGGGCTGGGGATTTAGCTCAGTGCTGCTGCCACCTGCCTTCCAAGTGCCAGGTCCCGAGTTTGAGTCCCGGGACACCCCCAAAAAATTAATTCAGTGATCAAACCTTTTCCTACAAGTAAGTCAAAGGTAACTTTAAAGCCAGTATTATTGAATTATTATAAATTTCTAATTAAGTTTAAATTAATATGGGGCTTAACATCTATCCTTTAAGTTACTGCATTTGATATTTTCTCATATAGTACAAGTTAGAATCCCTTATCTGAAATACTTAAAACAACTGTATCAGATTTGGGATTTTTTAAATTTTTGAGTTATTTGCATATATTTTCTAGTTGAGTATTCCAAATCCCAAGATTCAATATCAGATTTTGAAATGCTTTAGATGAGGTTTTTAGAGGAGATGCTCAACTGCCTGCATATAAAACTCAGAAATGAATCTCAGTGGAGAGCTCTTTGGCACAGCAATCACTCTAGCAAATCACAGTCACCCCTCAGCATCGATTCCTTGAGCCCCTTTCGATACTGGACATCAACACATGCAGATACCCGGGAGCCTCACACAAAATGGCAGAGGATGTGTATATAACCTACACGCATCATCTCTAGATGATTAAAATACTTAATAAAAATGAAATAAAATACTTAATAAAATGGGAACACTAAGTAAATAGGTGTTATACTTTCTCATGGAGAGAATAATGGCCAGGGAAATGTACAAACTGAGTGAAGTCACAGCCTCCCACCCCTCAACCTTCATCCCAGCGACACTTTGCAAGCCATGGAGGTGGGAGGTGCAGGGAGAGACACAGGGCTGGCTGGGCTTGATGCAAGGTAAGTTTTCAACACACACACCTCGGTTTCAAAATCCACTAAATTAAGCTTTCAGGGTGAAGGCAACTCAATTTGCAAGCACTGTGTGAAATTTATTCTCTTCGAACCTACCCGAAAATTATCTGGGGAGCTCAGATGAAGTTTTTCCCTAATATCTTCAGAAGCACCGGCACACAACCTATAAAAGATATGGTAATTCCTTTCCTCTTTGCCTTGAACACAGATCCTGGACTTCTCTAGAAGATAATGTGAAACAAATCCTCCAACAACTGAACTCTAAAAAACAAAATAGAGAAAAAATACATTTTTCGATTTAGTCTCAAAGTAGAACACAACGTTGAATTATTTATCTTTTCTAATAAACATCAGTCTACCAAAGAGGTTATAATACTCATCAAATACAGAGAACAAGCATAAATAAATGTGAGCTCAGAGTGTTTACAGAGGTCAGCTTCACTTAACATCTCTGTGCAGTCTCTACCCAGACCCTTCTAAGTTTCGAGCCCCTACAGAATCAGAACTGTGCCACAGTGCCCATATCCATGACAGCCCGTTCTAGAAGGGAGGAATGGATGATAGGAGCTCAGCGGCTTCAAACAAAGGACTGGGGGGAAAGAAAACACTCATTACTCTGACTTCATTGGTACACACTGCTGAAACATCACAGTGCACTCTTTAAATATGTACAGTTACTAGCATGTTGATCAAGACAGCAGCAAAATAAGTTATGGAGGGAAAACAATAGATGTCAGTTTATACTCAACGATGCAGTCAAATCCAGGATTTGAGTTATAAACAGCGAAAAGAGCTTTGGATAGTCATAATGAACACATACATTCTCCTATCAAAAGTAACCAAAAAAGGGCCAAGGATTTAGCTCAGTGGCTCCGCACCTGCTTCGCAAGCACAAAGTCCCAAGTTCAATCCCCAGTACTGAGAGGAAAAAAAAAAGTAACCAAAAAAAATCAAGGAATTCATCATAAGTTCCAGTACAGCACAGATCCTATAAGATGCTTGTATTTTCCATTAACACTACCCAAATGTATCACTCCAAAACTCACTTTAACTTACCTTTTCATTGAAATGTATTTCTACAAATTTTCCAAATCGACTGCTATTATTGTTACGAACAGTCTTTGCATTTCCAAAGGCTTCTAAGAGTGGATTAGCTGTTAAGAAAGAAATGAGAAAAATTTCATCAAAAAATGAACATGAACAAAAGTTACAAAATGATATTTATGGGCTTCCGTAGTGCAGTGGTCATCATGTTCACCTCACACAAAATGATATTTATAGGATGACTCCTTAGAAAAATACTAGATAAATATTCTCCAAAATATCAACATGGGGGAATTATGTAATGTAAAATTCCATAAATATTTAATGACTACCCTCTATGTTCAGGTACTACTCAAGCATAAGAGATGGAAAAATTACTCAAAATATATGAAAAGAAAATGTCAATGTTATAGGAAACACTAAATTTCTAAAAGTCACTAGGTTATACAACTTAGAATTCAGTTTTTAAAATTACTCCCTATGACATTCACAGATATAACAAGCACACCAACCCTATAAGACTACTGATGATAGAGCCATCGCTCAAGCGCCGGGAAGGAGAACCACGCCTGCTCCCAACCCAGCAGCCATCGCTCAAGCGCCCGCGGGAGGCCGTGTTCAGGTACTACTCAAGCATAAGAGATGGAAAAATTACTCAAAATATATGAAAAGAAAATGTCAATGTTATAGGAAACACTAAATTTCTAAAAGTCACTAGGTTATACAACTTAGAATTCAGTTTTTAAAATTACTCCCTATGACATTCACAGATATAACAAGCACACCAACCCTATAAGACTACTGATGATAGAGCCATCGCTCAAGCGCCGGGAAGGAGAACCACGCCTGCTCCCAACCCAGCAGCCATCGCTCAAGCGCCAGGAAGGTAGGCCGGCCCCGATCCACCGCAGGAAGGAGAACCACGCCTGCTCCCGAACCAGCAGCCATCGCTCAACTGCCAGGAAGGTAGCCGCGCGGGAACCCCTGAACCCCCATAAGCCCCCCCGCCGCACTCTCAGAACTCCTGACTGTGCAAGTCTTTGGACCCACTCTGCAAAGACAGAGGTGGTCATCAAGGGTATTTTTCTGAGTTCCCAACTTTGAACATCTTTAAAGAAAGGGCGTGGGAAACCTGTAATAGAACATTGCGGAGTTCAACCATTCAGAAGGATGGGGAACTCAATCTGGGCCTTGCAGCCCGAGGTCAGTCAGCGTCATGGGGTTCAGCCATCAGCTAACTGAGATCAGGGGTCTTGCATCCTCGCTCTGTCTGAGCCATTAAATGGTAAATATACTATATTGAAAAGTTTGTTCACTGCAGACATGTTCTGGACTGCTTCTTGATTTCAATTTAATTCAAATGATTTAAGGGTGATAGATTAGTGACTACCACAGGTTGTCAGTTTCCAAGTTGTGCTTGATCATATTGTGTTGCTGGCTGGGATAAAGGATTATGGTTGATTTGATGAGCTGTTTTTTCTGATGTTATGAAGATGAGAATGTCTGTGTGTCATTAGAGACAGAGAAGCTAGGGTGCAACTATATCAGGAAGATTTGGGTGATAATCCAGAGATTAGACCAAGGACAGTCCAACAACAAAAATTAAAATGAGAAAACACTTAAGCAAGACACAAGGACAGACTTCCAGTTCACCAATGGCAAACAGTAGGGCAAATGAGGATGAAAAGGCCGATAGTGAACCACCAGGACACCCTGAACTCAAAGCACAGGAAGTAACAAAACAGATCAATCAGGCTCTAGAAAAATTCAAAACAGAAATAATTTCCCAGATAACCATAGAGATAGTGAGCAAAATTGAAGTTGTGATTCGAGACTCTAGAGCAAAAACTGACAAAAAAAATAGATGAGCTCAGGACCATGATAGAAGCCATGAAGGCCCAGCA